TCCGTGACATTTTTTTAACCAGTTCACTAAATATGTTGTTGGCCAATTATTATAATTCAAAAATGTTTATACTAACCAAATGTAAATATCAACATATTAATGAATGTTTATGTTTTCAATTATCAGCAAAATTATTATTAAATATTTAATCAAGTCTTTCATAATTGAATTGTTAATATTATTACGAGATAAATTGCTGAGTATTATTCTACGTCGTTTTATTTATTCACTTTGGATTAGATTACCAGTGAAAGTTACTCTAATTTCATACGGAATTAACGAGTGTATAGTACTGTATTTCCTACCAACAATTAATTATTATACAATAATTGTAAAAGTCTAAAGGTTCTCTGTTTATTTTTATGTTTTTCATTTTGTACGGCTAAACTATTACGATCGAAAAAATCCAAGGACAAATAACCTAAGACGCAATCATAATTTTACAGATAATTTTTTCTTCCTTCGGAGCTATAAATTTATCGTAAAAAATTTAAGAAAATTAGTCGGTCATTTTTAATAACTTCCTACGAGTATAGTTAGTAAGTATTACACAATAATTATCAAAGATCATTCCCTAAAAAACGTACCTTAAGTTCTTACTACTGAAAAAAAAAAAACTAATGGGGAATTCCGAATTGCCTAACATTTCTCGGCGCGTTTCTTCGAACCGATGACAATTTCTATGTTACTATAAGGATGAATAGTAAGTGTTTTTTCCTGTCATAGACTATTAATATTTATGACCCATTCCATTGCTACCATAATGTATACACAAATATATATAGTTTTGTATTTGTATACTATCTTTTCGAAGAAATCTCAATGAGTCGTCTTTATGTGCAAATAATCGCAAGCTTCCAAAGTTATGACTCATTTCAATTCTTTTACTTTCTTCTTCGTCATCATATGCAAATTACTCGAGAATTTTGGCCCTTCAAGTATTTTATTTTTTCGCATCACTATATTTAGAATGTTTACTTTTTAAAAACTCTCTGTAAGCATTAAAATTAAAATGCTTAAATAAATCATCAATTAGAAGAAGAAATCCAAAGTTGTCCAAGGGCGCATTTACAAATTATGTCGAAGAAACCTTCTAACAATTGGCCATGGATAAATGTTGCCTTCCAAATTAAAGTGAACAGCCGAGTTACTCATACTCATCATAATCGTCATATGAGTTTTATTTCCAAATCGAACTTGACCTTCGATTGAGTAAAGTGAAATACAAAGTATTTAGACATGAATCTTTATGGATTAATGTGTCATGTCTGAACACCTGATTAATAAATACTTCTATTAAGAAAATTTTCTTGTTCCTAGAAAATATATTTATAATTATTGAGAATGTAATAATAATAAATACGTTTTATCTATATCACTTTTTATAGTTATTTTTTTACTAAGTAAATTTATTTATTTTTATGCTGTTAAACTATGGAGATTGATATTTATTGATAAATAATAAATGGCAGACAATTAAAAATGAAAAAAAAAAAAAAACTGAAAATTGAGCCTTTTTTCACAGTTTTTAGTTCTAAAAAAAAAAAGTAAAAATTAAAATTTTGATTTGGTTATAATTGATGTAAAAATTTGGAAAATCCAAAAGTGCACGACTCATAATGCTCATTTAATTATGAAATATTAATAAAATAAAGAATGTGAAAAAAATATATAAAACAGCTAAAATAGCACGATAATGCGTACGCGCCTCTAGTCAGATAAATGTACACAATACATATAGATATACAGTCTTCTGGTTTTTGTTTTATTTTATTAATTGTACATAAACGACACTGAATTATACCTAGCCATTCGCATTCGGTGATCTACAATTCTTCCAAAAAATTAAAAAAAAAAATTTAACTCAATTAATGCATTTTTTCGCAAGTTACAGTGTTTCCGGAGTTTCATACATGACGGACAGGAAAATTTTTTGACCTATTTTGATGTTTTTTTCCGTTTCTATTGCACTAAATCAATTTCTAAAAAATGTCAAATTAATCTCTATTAAATTATCTTTACAATAGTATGTACAATGTCTTGATTCCGTGAACTAACAAGACTATAATAATAAAAGTAGTTGCCGAAATGAGGCGAAAAAAATTTTTCGATCGTTAAGCACTCTCTGATGCTTCGCATTATGAGTCGTGCAATAGCTACTACTATGTAGAGTATGGAGTTCGAATTTCATCAAGATCGGGTCAGTGGTTCCGAAGATATCATGTACCTCAACCAGAAAAACATAGTTTTGAAATAAACGAGTTTAAAGTTTTTTTAATTAAAAAAAAAATTTACCTAAAGGCAATCAGCGATGACGGCACCATACAAAATTCCTTCAGCCTTTTAAAAAATTTGATTTTCTTCCACTCGAACATCCACATAAATACTGTAAAATAATACAGTTACAAAAAAATTTTTTTTGAAAGTTAAAAACCAGAATGACTCCTTAATTTAAATAAAATTACACTGATAAAAAAATGATTGAATCAAATAACATTTACTTGAACTAAGAACAATTTCTGAATGTTAATTTTTCCTTTAGCGAATTCATATTTTATCTATCATAATGAAAATATATCTATATTATTTTATCACAGAATAAATTAATTTAAAAAAAATCCTTACCTGGATAATAATTTTTCTTCTTCTGTAATTAATGCTCGGTTAATTCCAACCGAGTTTTTATTAATATATTTTAATAATACATAAAACTTGTGTGAAGATAAACTTAAAAAAAACTATAAATATAGGCAAGATATAAAATGATAGATTCACGTAAGGACGGGTTGGAAAAATCGGAAAAGCGAATCAAATTAGCTTCCGGTAGAGCTTTGACTTAACTTGTAGATCGCATGCCGTGGAAAGTGATAGTATGCGATAATAAGAACTATAAATATATAGAAAAATTGTACATTCGTCTTCTATTGTGCATTATTAGGGAGCAAATAAACTTCCGGTAGAATCGTCAATAACAATTTATTTATTTCTTCTTCTTCTTCTTCCGTGGTTATTATTATTTGATAATAATAAGCTGCGCTGTGCTGAACGTGAACGCGACGGGTCAAGTGTCATGGAGAAGTAATACTTAGCCTGAGGTAACTTACAGGAAGTTTTAAAGAAAAAGTTTATTATTATTTAAACTTTTTTTGCTTCGGGACCAAAAAATATTGTTGCTAACTTTCTTATTTTATACAGAGGGTGTTTTGAATTTTTATGGACCAAGTAAATTATTTCCTGTTAGTTAAAATAACGATTGTTGCATGAATTTCAAGAATAAATTTTGCTATTAAAATTTTTTCCGTTGTTTTACATTAAATAAAGATAACAATTCAGTTCAAATCGAGTTGAACGAATATCATTTCTTCTGGGAAAAATTTTTATTAACAGTTCTTTCACTTTTTTTATTATTATGTAAATATAAATAAATCAGTAAGTTATTTATCGAGTTGTCGAGTAAAAATATGTATTTAAGCGGGACTAGAATCTGAAAAAAATTTATTGATAGTTTAGTTTTATTAATATATTAAATTAAAGATTTTTAAAAAAGTTAAGATGGAATTTTGAACGTGAAGGGTAATTGATGACTATACATAAAAGTAAACGTCCTTGCACCTTGTCCAAGCTGTATCTTTATCACGTAGTTTATATTAAACCATCCTCTCTCATTCAACCTTCAATTCATTTTATCAAAATAGTTTTAATAACCATTTTATAAACTTACCTTATTAAAGAAGTAAAGTTACCCTTTTTTGGTATAAAGTAGCAATTAGCATAAATTTATCTTTTTTTTTTCTGGTAATTTTATTCAAACTTTATACCATTGAACTCTTCATTGATTGCTTATTATACTTCTGAGTAAATTTTAATTTCTGTTACAGACTTTGAATAAATTATATTAATTTTATTTTAACTAAATAATGCGAAATAGATGAACAGTTCAATGTACTATTCCACTTTTGATGATTCCACTGTGAGTTTAATTTTCTTAAATCCATAATAAAAATTGAGTAACTTTATTTATGTGTATTATAAGTATAACCCTGACAATTACCCAATGTTTTGAATAACTTTTAATTCGTTCGTTTATGAACTTTTATACATATATTACTTTTTAAAATGAAAATCGGACTGCGTCGTTTTTATTTTTTTATTCAAATATAAGAAAAAAACTTTGACGTTTAAGGAGATTAATTGCATTAATTTGAATACAGTGAAGAAAAAAAAGACATCATCACTGTAGCAGGTTTTATAATACTAACAGAAATCATTAATAACGTGATTGTGATATAATATTTAATTCGCTGAGTAAACAATTATGAAAATAATGATTTATTTATAAAAACTACGTCAGATGATCACGATAAATTTATCTCAATAACCATAAATGTCAATAAACAAAACGTAATCGTTGAGTGAGATTGATGCGAGTGTTGTCTTTAATGAATAAATATTTTCAAAGCTAATTTGATGAAAATTTTCTTGCTAAAAGTATTTTTAATTGTCAGCTACGCTAACTACCGGCGGTGTAAAAATATACTTAGTGGGAACAAATAATTATCCTTTGTAATATCTAATTACTAATTATACTGTGATTGATATATAATGTATAATGTATACAGTGATTATTAAAAAAAAAAAAAAAAAAAAACAAGAGTCATTTCACGCATTTAAATTTAACTATTATGGAAATCACGCAACGATACACTAGAGTAAATAAAGAGTGTCATAGAATTGGCAATTATACGGAGTGACAAACCAAAAAAATTGACATGCAATCCATTGTTTCGAGTGTAACAAATAAATTTTGGAATTCAGTTTGCTCTTCGATCGGAACGAGAACGAATCATTGGAATTCCTGAGAATTGACTTTGACATACATTTCTTCTTTAGTTTTTTTGTTTCTTCTTTGATTTTTAACACTATGATTGATAAACGATGTATGTTTGCCTATTTAAAATTAATAATTTACAATTGATATTAATAAAATTCAATAATTTACAGGGACCGCAGTAGCAGCAGGTATCTTGCTGATAATCTTCGCTGGTGTTTTGGCAGCGCTCTTTCCAAACATCATGGAAATTTTGATAAACCGGGAGGTTTCTATAAGAGAAGGTGGTCGTGCTTATGGATGGTGGAAGGAACCTCCAGTAGTTCCTCACATGAATATTTACATTTACAATGTAACAAATGCTGATGAATTCCTCAACAACGGCGACAAGCCGATTCTTCAGGAGCTTGGGCCCTATGTTTATTTGCAAAAATGGGACAAGACTAATATTAAATTCAATGACAATGGCACTGTCAGTTACAATGTCAGAAAGCGGTTTGAGTTTTCAGAGGTATTTATTTATATTTATATTACTTTTATTTAAATAGTACAAACCTTTTTTATTACCGTATCATTATTCACGCTTTCAAAAAATTTTCTTTTAACGATGGCTTATCTTCTTTTTTGACGTTTACAAATCTACTAGCGTGTTTTAACATTAATTTATTTGAGTTAAAAACAAAGATAATAATAATAATAATAATAATAATAATAATAATAATAATAATAATATTTATGACTTTTATTATCAGAATATACAAAAACATAATATACAAGTTATTTATTTTCCTAAGTACACCATTAATGTCGAATGCTAATTAATTATGATTTAGAGTGTCTAGCTGCATTCATTTATTATCGGGTATGATAATAGTTTTTAATGACCCAATAGGTGTGACTCAATGTTATAGTGGAATATTTTTTCGTCATGTTAAGATTGGAATTAAAGTAATTACTGAAATTATCGTAGAAATATTTTTAATGGAAATTATCAATTGGAAGAAATAGAATAGAATATCGTTTTCATTTGTATCATAAGTTGTGTTTTACAAAACTGTATCTTAATTTAATTATTTACATTTGCATATACACTAGTTTTGGCTTAAATATCAACTTCTTGTACTCTCTTTTAACTTTTTACACATCTCATCCTTCATATGAGATTCATATCCTTCATCCTGTATATTAATGACAGCCTTTTTCTGACATTCAATATTGCAATACTTACTCAATCTCTTCAAATAATCTTTCTATTTCGCTAACGTATATACACAGATCCCTATTTATTTCCCCTTTAAAAATTATCACTAATTTTTCCCTTGTTAATTCCCCCTCTAGTTCGCTCATCCACTTGTTTCTTGCTTGTTGCCCTTTTTCACTTATTTTTTCTTTTATCTCCGAACAGCTTAGTATATGCATCAGTGTCTCATCCTCTTTCTTACATATTCTGCATTCCCCAATTGGAAGAAATATTTAATTAACGATAACAATGATATTTAATTTTTTTCCAAGCAAATTTTAACAAAATTTTTTGTATTTTAATTAAAATTCTTTATTAATGCATAATTTATAATTTAAAAGAAGAATAGTCTAAATTTATTTATTAATTTTTAATATAAGTAACAAAATACTGTCAAAAGATATCGGTTTAAATTTAAAAATAATCCTCTAACGTGTGATTTAACTGAAAGTACATCTTTGATACGTACATACATTATTCGCGTCTCACTCCGATTGCGAAGAAAATGTGTTCGTCCATACATAACCGATGCACAATAAGGAATTGTAATTTGCATATCATCCGTGGTAACGCTCCGTCGGCTCGTCTAAGATCATGATGACGATGATGATGATGATGATGATGATGATAAAGCTCTAGCTTTGAAATCTAGAAATTGTTGTTGTTATACTTATACTTATCCTTACGACATGTACATCAACAATATGAAGAATAATGAATAAAATAACTTTAGTGCAATCTATAGTTTTCCGTTAATATTTAATATTCGATTAAAACTCCATTACAATGGAATTTAATATCTCTTCATACTTCCTATTAAATTTATTATTATGTACTTAACCTATTATAAACTATCTCTTCATAACTTATTATTCGGTATAAATAAAAGTGAAAGTCATTGTTGAGTATTAATAAAACAATAATAAGAAATATTTTATATTATATTGTATTATATTAATAAACCGGTTTAATTATTTCTTCTTTAGGAATTATCTAGCGGCTCAGAAGATGATTTGGTGGTAGTACCAAACGTTCCAATGCTGTCAGCAACTAGCCAATCACGTCACGCAGCTCGATTTCTTCGGCTTGCCATGGCCTCAATAATGGATATCCTCAAGATAAAGCCGTTTGTCGAGGTCTCGGTCGGGCAATTGCTTTGGGGTTATGAAGATCCATTACTCAAGCTCGCCAAGGATGTAGTGCCTAAAGAACAGAAGTTGCCTTATGACCAATTCGGATTGTTTTACGGAAAGAATGGTACTCATCCAGATCAATACACAATATTCACCGGGGCCTCGGACATCAGCAAATACGGAATGATGGATCGATGGAATGGCAAAGATGGCTTCAAACACTGGACTACAGATGAATGCGACAACGTATTGGGTGGTGATGGTAGCATTTTCCCACCACATATCAACAAGGATTCAAAGCTCAAGGTCTTTGATAAAGATCTTTGCAGAACTCTTCCTCTTGTCTTCAAGGTAATATCTATTGTCGTGTTGATTTATTAATTTATTCGTGCATTAATTATTTTTTTGTTGCTTTTAAATTCCAGAAAGAAGTGATGGCTGAAGGTGATGTTCCCGGATACAGATTCGTACCGCCAAAAGATGTTTTTGCAGCAGCTGATCGTATTTCTTCTCAGTCATGTTATTGTCCAGGTGGACCTCCTTGTGCTCCAGAGGGTACTTTCAATGTTTCACGCTGTCAATATGACTCACCAGTTTTGCTAAGTTTCCCTCACTTTTATTTAGGTAAGTATTTTTTTATGCTTTTGTAATTTTGCATATAAAAATTTCAACAAAAGTATTATTTGATGAAAATGAAGTTAGTCGAGATTTCAAAATTTTTAGAAATTGTTTATTAAAAAAATTTCAATTAAACAATTAAAAAAAAAAATTTTACATATAAAAAACTTAAATAACTATAAGTGTAATTTTTTAGAAAAATTTTTTTAGTGGTAATTTAATTATTAAAAAAAATCAAAAATTTTTACACGTCTGCTAATTTCAGTGTCATATTATTTGTCAAAAATAACTCATTGTTTAACATTTCTTCTTTTATTTCAAAATTTCAATTGATACAGTGGATTCTCGGTAACTCGAACTTTGTTAAGTCGAAATCCTCAGTAACTTAAAAAAAATTTGTATTCCTTTCCGCTGAACTCTTAAATACGCGATATCTCGAATTATTTAGACTCTGTAACTTGAACTTAGTATTATATCGTTTCCCTTCCAGTATCGATAAAGGATATTTATATTCTATAAATTGAATTTTGAAAGTGAAACTTTATAAGTCGAAGTATGTAGTAATCAAATCTGAATTCCTATAGGAATTTTCAATCCTTTTTATATTCTTATTTGTAATCTATATTTTCTCTCTAAGTTATTTTTTTACAAATCAAGTATTTTCTTAATTTTTTTGATCTACTTGCAAATTTTGAAAATCTTGTTAAGTCGAAAATTCGTTAACTCGAAGTTTTTATCACTTCCCTTGAAGTTCGAGTTATCGAGAGTCCACTGTAATATTCTTCTAATTACTAAGCAAGTATAATTAATATAAAAATATATTTTTACAGCTGACCCAACATTACGAGAAGCAGTTATTGGAATATCACCACCAGATGAGGAAAAACATCAGTTCTTTATTGACGTCCAGCCACTTATGGGAACTACATTGAGAGCACGTGCTAGGATTCAGATAAATCTTGCTGTCAGCCAAGTTCGTGACATCAAACAAGTTGCGTCTTTCCCAGATATCGTCTTCCCGATCATGTGGTTTGAAGATGTAAGACTATTTAAAATAATTATCATCTTCAATTAATGTTAGGAATCTATATTGAATGGATTTTATAATTAATTACAGGGTGTAGATGGCTTACCAAGTCACGTAACATCACTGCTGAAGATGGCCGTGGATGTTCCGCCAATAGCTCGAGCAGCTCTTTCAGGTGCTCTTGCTGCAGCAGGTGCCATTGTTCTTCTCGGTGCGCTATTGTGTCTTGCCAGGGCGGCAAAACATCAAGAAAAGCTTCATTTGAGCACTCCTCTACCTCCAGGTACATCCAAACAGGGAAATATAAACCCTGGCTTTCAAGGTTCCATGAAGTAATAAGTAATCCCTGTAAAAATGAGATAATCGATAATTATACATTATAATTATGAGATGCATCAATTTAATGAGAGAGCAAGAGAGTTGGACTCTTGGAAGATACTGTAGATTTGTTTTTAAAATTTAATTAATTATATTGTAGACAAACTAACAATAACTAGACTTAGAATAGACTTGAACTGTAATATATGCCGACAATCGTGATGATCTATGACTATCACGCAATTGTTGCGAAAATAACGATTGTATAATTATCGTGAGAAAGTTAAAGGTTACAGGATAGAATTTTTTATTCAGAGGGAAGGTGAAAGCAAGAGAAAGGGACTGATGCTCAATCGTTTTTGTGTTAAAATATCATTTATTAATACACAAAAACATACAATATACAAAATTATATTCAACAGAATATACTTACATATATTTGGAATAAAGTCTCTTTCTCTGACTTAGTCTTCTCTATACAAAAGCTCTCTTTCTCTCAAATCAGAGCTGGTGTTTATTTTATTTTATATTGTTTTTTTTTTTTTTTTATTAAATTAAAGATTTGCGTAATATCGTTCGGATTAATTTGTTACGACCGATCGCTCATTTTTTATTAGTGGGTCGAGGTCAACAGATAACAGGATCTTTGTAAAAAATACTTTTTTGACAATCTCTAGTAATTTAATCTGTATATTATGTCTGTCTATAATTTATTCACGTCTCACTCGCGAGAATTCGACCAATATATTGACATATCAATACTGTTTTTAATACACAAATGTGTACTGCTCAAGTTTTATACTTGTTCGAACGAAAAAAATTTATTTAAAATTTAAAAGTGTGCTGAAAAAAACTCTTTTTAAATATTCAATTTCATTAAGCTAATAGTTAATTGGTTAAATATTTCAGTCTATGAATAATATAATATTAAGAATTATTTATTAAGGTATTTTAAGTGAAAAAGAAAGTAATGGTTTTAAATTTTTAAATTTTATATTGCACGAGATTAAGAAGAAACTTATAAATTGGCTTGTTATTGCATTCCGTCCAATCAATGTATTTATATTATGTGTGTTTAATTATATTTAATGTTTATTATTATTATTATTATTATTATTATAATTATTAATATTATTGTATTGAATATTACTCGTTGTATATGTTATAAATATTGCTAGGAAAAAAATACTAGATTACTTGTTAGGTGAAAATAATTTTGTACAAATAAATCAAAAGATACCAAAATGAATCTCTATATATATTATCAATCACACTTCCTCTACAAAGTGTAAGTATAAACATACAGAAATTTTTTATTTAAAATGTGATAATTAATAGAGCGATTCAAATATTATATTACTTTTATCAATTTTCAATGGCGATGGGTCAACACGTGAGACAAAGTTTATCTATTTATCTAATGATAAAATTATAGAAATAAATATTTACTGGAAAGTACTAAGATGCACTGACGTAATTTAATCTGATATTGAAAAAAAGCAAAAATTCATTCATTAAAGTTTTATTTTTTATCCGTCACCAAAAAATTGCATAAATTACAACTAATTTGATTGTTAATTTTTTAAAAAGAAGGTCATATGTCACGCAATGAAGGTTATCATGTAATTGGTCAATTGACATAAACGTCTATGTTGCATTTACAATTTAAAATCATAACTTTCATAAAATTACATTGCACTCGAATATGCTGATAAATTATGTAATAATAATAGACAGATTAATACTTAGAAGAAAATGATAATAGCTTCAGTCAATTATATGTTAAAATTTCTTGAGAATATTTATTTTAAAATACGTGATTATTCTAAAACTTGGTATGAGTTGAAAAAACTTAAAAATTTTAAAATAAAGTTCACTTTATTAATATTAATATTTTACAAAACAAATAATTATACTCTCATATTCATCACTTATTACTAATTATATAACAAAATACTCATCAATCAGAAGCATAAATTAAATAACTGACAACTAAATCTGGCATACACTAAAATTAACAGTCTTATCACTGATTATCTACTCTTGTATACCCAGTTAAGCTAAGAAGATATATATTAATCATCCCCTGAGAAAAAAATAATCCTAAAAGATAAATCCTAAAAGCAGCTGAAAAAATGATAAATCATTTTAAATTTGTTGATATGGAAGACGATATTTATAACAAACATATATCTCTTTAATACAAAATATGCGAAGAGTTTATAATGCAAAAGGTCTAAGAACTAATTTTTACTGATGCTAATTCACTCTCGTCGTGTGGTTTAGCAGAATCTTGAGGGCTATTTGAGAGATTTATAGTCCTCGAAGCTGATTCTTTTTTCTGTTTTCTCCATACGTGCATCAATCCACATATTGACAATATAAAAGCTATTATACTACCCCACTGGATACCAGTTTCAACAGCAGCTACCGTGTAATATCCATGCTTTAGACTACTGAGTAATGGCTCTGGAATGTCGTCTATTGTTAATTCAATCCATAAGAGTGGTAATATTTGACCATCATCGAGTCCTCCGTGGAATGGTACTCCTACAGCACGACGTGCTTCAATGTTCAATTGAATTCGCGATGCTCCGCCAATCAGTACTCCTAATCTCTATACAATTCATTTAATCAAAATCAATAAGTTGCAGGTTGTATACAAAAAATGAATTATTTAAAATTTTTTTATTCTTACCGAATGAAGTTCAACATGAGATTCATGCAATTCAGCTTGAGGATTCAGGCCATCAACATTATTTTGTAAAATTTTATCTCCGGAGTAAAAATGTGGAAAAGACGACAAAAATGGCATGTTGAATAAACAAGCTGAGCTGTTAAACAATCCATTCGGAGGGCAAATTCTTGACGACTCAGCACCTGGAGTTGATTCTGGACAATAGCAACGGTTGTTGCCTGATGAATAATTGAATATATCTTCAGCAGGTTTGAACCTTTAAAAAAAAAAAAAAAAAAAAAAACATTTTTTTTATTAATAAAAACAATCATCACATAAAATGAAAATTAATTTAGCATATATTTAATAATTTTAAAAATTATATAACACATAAATTATGGCAAAAAAAAAATTAGAAAAAAATTGATATGTAGAAATTTAAAAAAATAATAAATGCAATTTTTTAAAAATGATTTTTTTGGACAAATTTTTTTGTTAAATAAAATTAAAAAATTGTCAAGTGACTGCTAACTTTAATGTTATTCACATAAATGAATTTTAATATTTGATGACATTAAAGTCATCACTTGACCATTTTTTAATTTTTTTAACAAACAAATTTGTTCTGAAAAATTATTTTTTTTAATTTCTAAATGTCAATTTTTTTTTTTTTTTTGCAATAATTTGTTTGTTATAAAAATTATTAAATATCTGTTAAACTAATTTTTATTAATATTTGTTGAAGGACATACGTTAAAGATGGAATTCCAAAGGACGAGCCAGTTCCTACATTACGAAGACGCAGAGTGCGGCACATCTCACCTGAATACACCTCCAAAGTTTTATTGGGCCCTTGGAACATTTTCAATGGAAATGTATAACCCTGCGTTCCGTAAATTTTGTCGCATTTTTTATCGTTCCAGATTTTTCTGTGTTCCTTCCCGTTTATTGACTGGATCATACTGTACTCACTCAAATCGTTGATTCCAGATTTCATCGTAATTACGTCAGGTGAGATTCCATTTTTCTGTAACACAAATAATATATTTTAAAAACTTTTACTATATTTTAAAGTTATTTTTATTAATAAAAAAAAAATTACTTACAAAAGCAAGAAGACCAAATTTGTCGAATGGAATATTATTGTGCAACGAAATAAATGGTTTTGCCAATTCAAATATTTTGTCATCGTATCCCCAGAGTAATCCATTGACTGGCAGAGATAAGAAAGTGTTAGACTGCAGGGTAGATAATACACCAGTGAATGCCAATTGAGCTAAAAAAGGTGTATCTCTCATGGTAGCCATTGAAGCCAAGAGAGGCACATTTGGTACCGTAACTATTTCATCATCGGGACTTCCGCCTTCCCACTGATAAGAGCGTTTTTCTTTGAAACTAATGCTTCCGTCACTGTTAAAGGTATAATTAACACGCGTAAGTGTTTCTCGGTAAATATAAGGCCCCGTTTCCTGGACCTTCAATTTCTTCGCTCTTCCACGTTGGTAATCTATCACGTTGGTGTAATTAAAAATACGTATTTTGTAAACAGCACGTATAGGAGGCCTGATAAACCATTCGAGCATCGGCGAGCCATTTTTCACCACTAAACTCGACAGGATGGTATTTTGAAATAAGTTGGTGCACCAAAATATAATGAAGAGAAGTAAACTTGATACTGTCACACCGAAAAAGGATGCAATTATAATTTTTCGGGGATGTAAATGACGACGACTTGTTGAAGAAAGCGAAAGTGGTTTTTCCATCACTGACAATCCTTGAGTCATTTTTGAGTTGATGATTGGTTTTTTTATTAGTATAATAAAAATAGTTACAATAGATTAATAAATCATTGATCGAATGAAGTTGATGGTAAGCGGTTGATCGTCTTCATTTGACTGACTGTTGCCATCATTTTACAGCTTACAAAATTCATTTGAGTTGACGTTTTTTTTATTATTTTTAATCTAATGATAACCTTGTTGTGAGGAATGACCTCGGCTGGTAGCACCTCCGATGATATGACAGCGTGTATGGATATGGTTCTTTGCCACCCTGATTATTTATATACAAATATAAATTTCGATCGAAAAATATTCATGTTTACTTTTACGATTAATCGTTAAACTCAATCATTTGTTTTCTAATATTAAATTAATGGGTAATCAAAAGTCATATTTTGTGATACTAAAAAGCATCAGCAGAGAGAAGAAATTTTTATTTATAGATATAAATTAAATTATAAATTATATAAAGTAAAAATTGCATGTTTAGAAATATTTAAAATCTTTGGTATTATAAATTAAAAGAGTTAATAATTTTTTTTTTATTATAGCAAAATAATGGAATTTTGTTTTTGAATAAAAATATTAACAAGTCATCATGAAGGTACGTTTTACTTTTAATTGGATTAATAATAAGAATTTTTATTAAAATTTTAAGATTTTTTTATTTTATTTTATTTTAGATATTTTAAGTAAACACAATAATCTTTAGTGGAAGCAGTTGTTTATTATTTAAAAAACATAATATTTGGAATTAAAATCCGGCGAGAAATTTCATTGGAGTTTACAGAACTTACAGAACATCAGGCGAGAATTATTTTTTTCTTAATCAGTAATAAACTGGATAAATCGGGCGAGAGTCATGACAATGCGGATAAGTATTGAAAAATCGTCTTGGGTGATTCCTTTTATTATGACCAGACGGTTAAAAAAACTAAGTGACTTATCAGATAACACCCCGACAGATTTCCGTCGTGAAATCATTGACGTTGTATTAATGTTTATGTACGCATGTATTAATATTATTCAAATTGAGATATAATACGTATTCTAAACTGATATGCGAATAAAAATGTTGCGTGACCAATAAAAGATTAAAAAATCTGCAGACTGTCTAGCTGATTATTGTGTCATCGTTCATCACCACTGCTGTCTTCGTTTATAGAATCATATAAGAAAAATAATAATGGGCTCTCAATTGGAATTTGAAACATTAATTAAAATTAACCCATGCTAAAATATATTATGACATTAATGTTTTTTTTTCAATTAAAAATTGGAATCAAGTAACAATATTGCATTCAGGCCCATCAAATTTCTTATCAAAAAAAGCAAATTTTATTTTATTCAATAAACATAGAATTCTAAGAAGAAAATAAACAAATTTTGTTATTTTTCTGGATGTGAGAACTCAATAACGTATTACATAGAAAAATAGGTAAAACTTTTAAAAACACAAATTCAGGTCGAACTTCTGATATCAAATTAAACTATGAAAACCTTTTGACAATAAATATACCCCCGTCAAAGTTTTCTTCGTTCTAAATGTACAAATTCAGATCAAGATCCTTCTAATGATACCTAATTTAGCTTAAAAACCCAGTTTATCATTTTTTGCTCTCCGGGCGGAAAGTGGCAACTTTCGTTCTGCTGCGCTAAACAAAGTTGCCGCTTTTTGCCTCCGCCGGAGAAAAAATAGTATACAGCTCTTGAAAAGTAAAAATGAAAACCTCAGATCGCATGTTTTCGACCTCGGCTTCGCCTCGGTCAACAATTACATGTGATCTGAGGCTTTTCTTATTGTCCTTCCCAAGAGGTGTCATATACTATTAATTAAATACGTTGAAGACAAAATTCACTTATCCTCTTCAACATACAGGGATACTACACCGAATCGAACACTTTTGACCCCGACTTCTTTCGATTTGGCTGAAAATTTTTCATTTTAAAATTATTTGAATCTAGCTGTCGAAATTAAGGGCTGTAAGCATAATAACAAACTATTATTAATTACAATAAATAAAAAAAAAAAAAAAAAAAAAAAAAAAAATAAATAGTTGTTTATATTCTGAATTTATTGTTGTTGTTAAACTGGTGAGGGAAATTTTAATAAAAAAAAAAAAAAAAAAAAAAAAAAAAATATAGTTGTTTTATATTCTGAATTTATTGTTGTTGTTAAACTGGTGAGGGAAATTTTAATAAAAAATTTTTTTAAATCAGTCCAAGTTTATATTTTTTATTAAAGTAATTATAGATAAAAAAATTATCAGTTTAAGTTAATTTTATATTTTAAAGCGATTGTAGATATAATAATTTGAATTTTAGCTATTAATTAAAGTGTTAAACTTTACGTTCAATTTTTGTTACATCACATGTTGATTTGAAAAATCTTATAACATGAAAATTTTTCTCACTAGTTGAAATAATAAATTGTTCATCTTGGATATCTGTTACATTCAATGAAATAATAGGTTGGCCATCAACTTTTATTTTTTTGGAGAATTGTGTTGTAAAATTAAAGTCTAATAAATCTTGAAGATTGTTTAAACGAAAGAGAGCAACATATCCTGTGAAAGAAATTTAGTTAATTTATGGAAACTTTCATATTAAATAAAAGTAGTATAAATAAAGTAAGTACCTGAATCAAAGCCCAAGATTAAAATGTTAGCATGGTAAATAATCGCAGTAACAATAGACAGAAAGTGCTTAAAAACGTTGTAAACTTTCCAAGGCTTATTATCGATACTGACCGCCATTAAATGATCTGTTCAAAAAATTTAATATTGTATAAAATATAAATATAAATACAGCTGTTTAAATATGATTTCAAAAACATACCACATAGTCCAACCATAACATTGGGTGATAGTGCATAAAACTTTTTCACAACTGCATTTTCTAAATCATTGTCCAATTCAATACTGAAATCATCATCTTCATACTCAGTATTTGTAGTATTTATTACATATCTACTGATTACAGACTTCTCGTTTGTTATTATACTAGTCTGAAAATCAATCAATTTTTTATTACTATCTTATAATAGATTGAGTGTAAAATAAATAAAAAATATTTACAAATTCATCTGACGAATAAGTTGCGATGATTTCTTCATGTGGACTTAGTAGTGTTGTAGATACTGAATCAGGAATGATTAGCTTATTCACAGCGCAATATTTTGTGCGTATTAAATAGTTATTATACGTCAAATAACAACAATTCCGATTGATACTGTTGACAAAAAAATGTTTTTAATTTATAGATTAACTCGTATAAAATCAATTGGGGAAAAGCCACTATATGATTTCATTTTTTAAATTTAAACTAAGAATTATTAATTTTCAATTGACAACGAAATATGTTCCTAACAGGCTTAAGTCAATCTTTATAAATCATTCATAACTTTTATAAAGTTAAAATTTACCTGAGAATTCTACCGCCGAAGCAATTATTAGTATCTATTTCTTTTCTTTCAAAAACATTCCAAAATTTTATTTTTTCATATATTGAACAAGTGACAGCTAACAATTCATTACCTACAATATTAATAATGATCAATGTACTTGGTATTTTAAAATAACGTCAAATTAAAAATGATACTCAAATCAGCAGACATTTGACAATTTTTTGTATTTGTATAAAAAATAAATTATAATAAAAAATTATTTTTAAAAAGTTTGCACTTGTAATTTTCAGATGTGGAATTTTTTTATTAAAATTTTTTCATAGAAATTTTTTATAAAAATCAGAGAAATTGACAAGTGTCAGTTAACTTCAGGATTATAATTAAAATTGATTATCTACCTGTATACCAGAATTTAATTTGTCGAACTTCTGCTTTGTGATCAGCTCTGTAAATAATTTTACCTGGTTCATAAGTTTTACAAAAGTAAATTAATCCTTCACTGGTCGTTGTACCTACAATGTCACCTAAAAAAAATAAAAATAATTATGACATTAAAGTTAGCAGTCACTTGACCATATTTTAATTGTTTTTAACAAACTAATTAGTTCCAAAAAATTATTTTTAAAAAATTGCATTTTTAACTTTTTTCAATTTTTACATCCCAAGCGTCACAATTTTTTTTTTTTGTTAATTTTTTGTTGAATTTAAGTTGACGATTATTAATTTTTCAACTTTTTGCTAAGTAAAATCTATCTAGCTAAGTCAAGATTTTTTTTTTTGTGACGCTTGGGATGTCAATTTTTTTTTCTAATTTTTTTTTGCAATAATTTATTTGTCACCAAAATTCTTAAAATGATTAAAAACCTGCTAAATTAATTTTCATAAAATAATTACTCATTTATAACCAATAAATAAATAAAATTTACAAAAAAATTTCAATTACCCCAGACATCTATGCAAGTGATAACTTCGTTTCTGGAAAACGTCGGAAAATCATAAATAGAATCAATAAACACTTCTCGATTTAAGGAAAAATTCCATTTTTTCCAAGACATGAAAATTTTCCGCCAGTCACGATTATCAATGTCATTTTTCCAAGATGAATCGATCTCATTAATCAAATTTGGATAAACTTTGGTAAAAATTTCATAGTGCCCCTGGTCTGAAATAGCTTGACACCGTTTCTTCCAATTGACATCTCGTTCCAATAGTCTTCTTATCCATTTATTGAAACTCACGCATACAGATTGAAGTTTTATTAAATCAGCAACGTCGTCAATCTTTTTAAATATTTCCTCCCATATTTCTTCTGGAAACATCACCATGGAATCTCTCGAATCTAGGTTAATATAAGCAAAACCAAGCAGTTTATTATCACAGCAGTTTAATGTCATCGTTTAACTTGGTAATCAAATGATTGTTCTACAACACCGAATATTTATTTAATTCGATGAATAATAACAATGTACTTACTCATTCCTTTAACCCTGTTTTGATATTAAAGGAAGTTATTAATCGTAACAATCCTTTCTAGCGACACGTGCGTTTTTTAATGACAAAAAACGTTTAGCAGATGATTTTATACAAATAAAAATTTACTTACATTTATATCTATATATAAATTAAATAGATAACTTCTTCTTTACCTACCGATAATATAAAAATGCGCGGGAAAATTTATTAGAGATTTTGATAAATAAAACAGCGCCATCGCAGAATAGGGTTGGTAAAAAAGTACAAGCTTGAAAAAACGCAGTCGCAGACTTGGAGCATGATAGCCAGCGCTTTCTCAGTAAGCGTTGACTTCCAGCAGTTACGTTACGGTTAATTTATACATCAAGTTGGCGGTAATTCTTTTCACTCAACAACAGTTGTAAGCAAATTGACGGAAATCTACGGCCGCAACTTGAATACAAGTTAGCAATCAAACTTGTAGTTAAATTTCCTTTCAACTTTACTACAATTTGACGGAAATACTTGTACAGCAAGTTTTGACGTCTATTTGGAGAGTAAGTTATAGGTAACTAATAGGTAATCGCTCGCTTTGCCAACTCTTTCCGTCAAGTTTGCTTCAAATTGCGGACGTAGATTCCTTGATAGCCAAACCGGCCGCAACTTTCCGTTGATTTGCTGCAGCAACTTGTCACCAAGTTGGCGGCAAGTCTTGGAAATGAACTCGGTTGTTCACCAAGTTGTCGCCAAGTTGTCGGCAGAAATTGTTTTTCCCAAAAGGAAGGTTATCACCAACATAGACTAAAATCAGAACCAGAATAAGAGCGAGAGACAGTGCCGGGTTAGTAGGAAGAGAAAGAGAAAGATTTTGAAATATCATCGACCGAATGAATGGGAGAGCGAGTAAGGATAATAATAATAAAGATAAGGAGCAAGGAGAAAAAGAGAGTTGCTTGTAGTTCACTGTGTGAATGTGAGGAGAGAATAGAGTTCTACTCAGAGTTTTCTCGCCCCTCACAGTGATTGATCCTCGTAAACAGGTGCAATACGATTGGACGCTGAATAAATAGTTGTGGCGCAAGTTGGCGTTGTTTAGTGCTCGCTGTTGGTTGTTGGTTGTTGTTGGTGCTCGCTCTCTCTCTCGAGCTCCTATATGTACGTAAATCTCTTGTGGCATTAATGCATCTAGAAGAGATATATAATTTGCAACAATGTGTCGGTAATAGTTGAGTGGAAATAATTGTCAACTACAGTAGACTGACTGCTATGCAAGTTGTAAGATAGTGAGGTAGTCAGTGGATCCAGTGATCCCATTTATTTTATCTTTTACAACAGCAGTTTACTGTGATTGATACTCAACAGCACACATTACATAGTTATCACAATTATAATCACATTGTGTAAATTGATAACACCAACCGTAAAAGCAATATAAAGTAATTCGCCGGACGGCATGAATGTTTACAACGCGTCGTCAGCGGCCACCACCGTCATCACGTCGTCGTCAACCACGGCAGTCGGAGCAGTCGAGGTTACCGATGATTGGGTTGAATTTTGTGACAGACACGCCCGCGCAACGGCTTCAGATTTTGCCAAGGCATTTTGCACATACGTAAACTTAAATTTGCCAGAAAGCGCCCGGGCTACTCTCTCACATCGTGATTTTTTAGGTAAATTCATCGATAGCTTCTGCGAGCATTTTGAGAACGAATACCTCAGACGAACTCAGAATGCAAGGTCTGTTTTTTTTTTTCACTACTTGTTTACTTTCATTTTTTTATTTTGGATTTTTTTTCGGCAAATATATTTCTTAATTTATCATTGATATTATTTATAATCATGTATTCTTTTTTTTTTTTTTTTTTTTTTTAATTTTAAATTTTGAATGAGAGTGCTTTTTTAAGCTTATGACGTCAATCGACTCTAATACTTACAAAAAAAAATTCCTTTAGTTGTCATTATTATTATTATTATTATTATTATTATTATTATTATTGTTATTAATACTCTAACTATTTATTTATTCATCTACTTATATTAGTCATTCAGCAAAAAAAAAAAAACATGAATTTTAATAAATGATTACGTTTTTCAGATCTCCATCATTCCACGATACACGACACGTGATACCCAACTCCGCTAGTCAAAATAATCGAGTGCAACCAGTAAGAGCGTCATCAAATGAAGAGTTTAGTGACTATTCAGACCGTGATGGCGAGGTCGTCTCACCGAAGCCTGTGCATAAGCCCTTTTTTCGACGTCTCTCATTTAAGGGATTCAAAAAGGGTCGTGGATTTTTCCACAAGCAACAGAGTGATGAAGTTGAATTGTCGCACAGCGAGAGCAGAAAAGACAAACACACTAAATCCAAGCTGTCTAAAATAGTAGTGGAGTGTCGTAAGGAGGGTGTTGTCAATACTTTGATCGGAGAAAATTCCGATGGAACGCAAAAATGGGAAAAATCACGGTTAGCGCTGATCAAAGCCATCGGTGGTTACATGCTGGAATTTTATTCCCCTCCTAAAGCCGTGAAACCACGTGGAGGTGTGTTTTGTTCGGCGATTACCGAAGCGCGTGAAACAACAGCTTTGGAGATGCCGGATCATGAGAATACATTTGTATTAAAAACCCAGAACGCTGAATTTGTGATCGAAGCGCATGATTCCTCAGACATGAGGTCGTGGTTGGCTACTATTAAATATTGTATGCGTTCGGCATTTTTGAACTCCGCGACAAATGATTCTGCAGGTGATGGTTTGGGACACGGCTCGGCCTCGGGACAAGACGGTGACCGCGTGCGAGCTAATTCCGCGAGTAAGAGCTCGCGGTCAGGATTTGATCATGCAAATGATCTTGCTCATCCACCAGAATTACCTCCTAGACTTCGTACACGTAGTAATAGTAATCTTGAGCTTTGCTCTTCTCAACAAGAAATCGAACAAAGTAGGTATCATTTATTTATTTATAAATTTTATTACTCTTTATTTTATTGTACGAATACTTGGCCACTAATTCTTACTAGTATTATTAGTCATTAAAAATTATTTATTTTTAGTGAGTGGTAATGAAGGAGAACCAGACTTGGCTGTTAGTTTAAGAGAATATCCATGGTTTCATGGCACATTACCGCGATCAGATGCAGCACAACTTGTCTTACATAACGCAATGAATGGACATGGTGTTTTTCTAGTGAGACAAAGTGAAACGAGAAAAGGAGAATTTGTATTAACATTTAATTTCCAAGGAAGAGCTAAGGTTTTATTTATTTTTTTTTTTTTTTTGTAATTTTAATTCATATTGTGAATCTATTAAATAAGTAAATTCAATCAAATAATATAATGAAAATATATTTATCTACACAGCATTTAAGAATGACGCTAAACGATCAAGGTCACTGTCGTGTTCAACACCTGTGTTTTCCCGCAATACTTGATATGCTGGATCATTTTCGGCAGAATGCAATACCCCTGGAGTCTGGTGGAACGGCAGATGTGACGCTTACGGAATTCGTAGTGGCGAGTCATGCATTGCGCCCAGTAGTGCATCCAACAGTTAACGCAAATACACAACAAAATCAAGCTCAGGAGAGGAGACCTGCTACTGTACCGGAGTCAAGAGAAGTAAGAGTCAGCAGCGGAAGTCTCACACCTCTTGAGTGAGCGCGAGTGGCCGACTCCCACAGTCTCAAGTCTGATCAACAGACAGTGAGTAGTTAATACGCTAAAAGCGATGCCCCATATTTGATTGGATTTAACACAATAATTGACATTATAAAATGTTAAATGCTTCCTGTCAATCCAACCGACTGCTGAATGCCATATGAAATTGACAGTATAAACCAACCAGTTAAATTCATCCCCATTTTATGATACTTAGTATTTACAGTAGTATAAAGAAAAAGATTAAGAATTATTCTTTGTTGTATTTATAAAATATAAGACTGACTTATTTGACCGTGGGTGAGGGGCTCGCTTTCACACACTACAAACATCTTGAAAAAATAATTATAACGGCGTTTAAAAATTTTATTCGTATCATTGAGAATAAGTAGTATAGAATAGTATTTAATGGTAGAAATAATTTGATGTTTGCTTTATTAAATATTTATTAGTCGATGAATGATTTAAGATCCGGACTTGTGGTGGATCAATAAGAATCAAAACAGACTCTGTGGAATGGCTTGAGCAGCAACAGCAGCAACAACAACAACCTAATGTTAATAATAATTTGGATCAACAAGCATCGACTTCAGCATCATCAAGCAATAGAGCTGTGCAAAATGCCTACAGTTTTCTCTGACGTTGGATTCGCAGTACATTACCCTCAGGATATCGTTTGGTCAGTCCGCCTGAATAAATATTATTATCCCCTATAAAAACTTTCATCACATTATTTTTCGAGTAATAGCTTAAAAATCTTAAAACAATTGAATTTATTCGGTCGAATCTAATTGTCAACTTTTTAAATCTTTATATGATTAGGGTGATTTTTTAATTTTTAGTTTAAAAATTATTTCAAAATCATTGAATTAAAACATATCCTAAGTTTTGATATTTTTCAAACTATTTTTTTTTGTGTCAACATAGATATTCAGCTAGTGTCACTTACAAAATTGATAAATTTAAAAATTAAAATTTTAAGCTCAATGAAGTTTCACTGTATACGAAGTTTAGAATCACGATTAATAATTAATTATTAAAATAATTTTTCTGTAAGACTGCCGCTTCCTAAATCGAATGCATGTCTGGTTTCTTAGACTGCATTCAAGTCTCAGCTCAATAACAAAACTGTTGAAAACATTATCTTTAAAATAATATTTTGAAAAGCCAAAAAAAATGAAAAAAAAAAAATAATGATGTTACTCAACGATGCTTGAAATTACAAAAATTATATATATATATATTTATATATTTTCATCATTTAACGAGGTGACTAAAAGGGTTGGAGATAAAATCCAAAATAATAGTGTAATGAGTCATTAAAATTGTACATACTATATTTTTTTCTTTCGTTTTAAACAAGAACTTTCGCGGCAGCTTTGAATGTGAAATAGAATATTTATTGCCCGCTTCGATTTTAATTAATTATCTATACATTACCGTGGTTAAGAATACTGATTGAAAAGAATTGAGAAGCGGTCACTTCATGCAAACGGTATATTTATATATACAAACAAACAAAAGAATTGAAATTATTAAAAAGAATTCGAATTTCATCATTTTTAATTCTTTTCAATCAATATTTTTAAACAGGGATATATTAACGACATCGCTCCGAATTAAGACTGCCTCCTGCTTATTTATCAATTTATATTCACGTGTATAGACTATATATATTTACAATATGTTATTATTTTATTTGTATTAATAATATTATACCTTAAATATTTTTTAATGTTTGAATGTAATTCATTTGTTTTTTAAAATCACTACAAATAATTGTATTATAATCTAAAAGCCATAATTATTAGTTAGTTATTTGCTACGAAAGAATGAAAATACTAAGAGACTGGTAATGTCACAATAACTTTTTGAAGGTGTTAAAGAACAAATACTCTTAATAGTTAAAACTGTTGATGAATTTTTTTTTTCGTTGGTACATATAAGTCATTTGTTATAATTTTTAAAAATTCTCAGTGAACAGAAGAATGGGCCAATTAAATTTTTAAGTACTTAATAAATATATAAATAAATATATATTTTTTCCTCAATAAAATTTCAGTCACAAATACGTTATAAATTATTATTAATTATTTGTCTTTCGTAATTGATTAATTTGTAACGAAGTTTTGAGTTATCGTTTTACAATTAAGTGTTAAGTTTATTTTTTACATGAAATGTTTTCTTTTTAAAGTTGATATATTTTTTTAATAGTCTTTTTATTTCTATTTAATGAATCATGGCCTAGAAAATATATATTTATGTATGTTCATGTGTAATACAGTGGAGTATGTAAAGGATGAAGTCTTGTAATTTTTTAAGCTTAAAGCTCATAAAAATATAATAATAATATAATAATAAACAAGATTGACTGAATATGTACATTTATATGTGTCGATAAATATAAAAAAACAAATAAAGCATGGAGATAAAATATATTTTCATCCAAACTTAATGAAATAGTGTAATTTAAAAAAAAAAAAACGAGACAAACAATAAAAAAATCATTTTGATTATTTATATATTATTTTAATTAATGTGTATTGAAGGTAACAAAATGATAAAAATATAAATTTAAATCTTTAAAAATAGATAAAGGAAAAATAAATTATTTTCAATCGTTTTATTTGCTAAAGTAATACGTACTTTGTGACGAATTAATTGCAGCAAGAACATATCACCTTACTCATGTAAATTACTTATTATTTTGATAGTTCTTATTATGCCTAAGAACAAAAAGAAATAATTAAATTATTAACATTAACAAACAACTATTAGTTGCAAGTTGAATTATATGGATGATTAATTGATATTAATCATTTGTTTGTCGACATAAAATGCAAATTAATAAAAAAAAAAAAAAATTATGGTAATAAATAAATAAATAAAAAAAAGTAAATGACCAGTATATCCGAGCTTCATATTGTCATAGTCGCTGATTGTAAAAAATGATTCCATCGTTAACTTTTTCACAATGTTGAAGCGAGATATGATTATTTATAATTAATTTAAAGAAATATTTAATTAATGTACAGTATCTTCTAGTCCGAATACATTAAGATCTTGATAAAATATTTTTAGGTTCTTTTTTATTAAATTATTTCCTCAATTAAATAATAATTTAATATTCTATTCATCGGCATCAAAAACTGGCGATAGCTGTAAAATATTCTTATATAAAATCAGCAATAAAAAATTGATAGAAAATTATAATTAATGAATAATTACGTAGTACTCGATGTAACTCAAATGACCATCGTCCGTTTTTACCATAAATTGAAACACCAAAAGTCCTCTGTTGTCTGTTTTTAGTGATACTTTATTAGCGCAAGCAAGTGCTTTCATTACCGGTTTCATTGAAGAGTATTGATAACAAAAAGTGGCCTCTATGCTGCACTGAAAATTCTCAATTGATTCGGTATCGTGAGGTATCTCGATGTGACATTCACCCGCGAAACCGCTGGTGCTTATTCTAAAATACGGCGGATCTGGTGAAAGCAACAGCTGAAAAAAAAAATTTTTTGTTAAAATTTTCTTACATTTCAGTCTATTGATATTCAATTACCGCTATCACGTCAGTTGTAGGGTCCAGCTCGCTCCAAATATCACGTAATATTTCCGTATTTAAAATAACTTTGTTGAGAACGTTACTCGGTTCGATATTAAAGTCTATAAGATCATCCGGTTCAAGAGTTTTTAATGAACAGTCAGTAAGAATACCATCTTCTTCAATTAACACAGATACTGGATGTCCTACATCCTGGAAATTAATTCAAAAATTAACTTTACAGTTAGATGTAAATAAGTAATAAGTTTTTAAATTTGACATCAATAAAATAATTTACTTTGTACATCAATTGGAGCATAACCGAAACTCCTTGAGTAGATATACTACTCCAAAACATTCCAAGACACTCCACTAGAACAGTTAAATTAATTTTAAATATAACGTCTTCAGCAAGATTATATTCTTGAAAAATAATTTTCGGAATGTACGCGATTCCTTGGAGACATTTGCTATCCTCAACAGTTATTTTTACACCATTGTCCGAGCAGCAACACGTTGCCCACTGTAAAATAAATTTATTAAGTGAATAATCCAAAAAATACAAATTTTAAAGCAAAAGTATTATACTAATTACCTCTTTAAAATTGATAGATCTTAATAATTGTACAAGTGTCTTCAGATTGCCCAATTTGGCAACGAATTTGTAATCATCCGGTGACGACATCATTTTACTTGTCCAAATCTCGGTTCAGTAATAATTTTTTTTAATTGTTTACGCGTAATATATTTCTCAGTAATTTTACTTCAGTCAAAACGAGCCTACATGTCTGGTCTGATTAATCCCTAAGCATTTGGTATCTATGATTTGATAAATAGACATAGTATTATGTTATGATATAAGTAGCGCGTAGTTATTTTGTAATAAAAATAGTACCTAAAAGCGGCATATGGACAATTGTTTATGTTGAGAAATAAAATATAAGCTTCATCGGATAATCATTGTACGTCAAGCAATCATCCACAGGAATCTATTTCCTTCCAGATACCTCGAACGTTTGGATCAAAAGCTATTATTTTACTTACTTTAATTGATTCATAAAAACTCAATGCTCTGTCGAAAACACCGCCAAATGCTAAATAAAGACTCAAGTGATAAATCTGTAACTAAAAATTATTAATTAATAAAGTAATCATATACGGATAATTTTATAATAAATAAGTATAAAATGCGAAGTAAAACTATAAAATATTTATATACATTTTTTTTTTTTTGTAGTCTTCAACTAATTTATTGAGCAAGTGTCGCAAAATCCCTTTTTTTGACAATAAAACTATCAACTGCTTGATTGAATTCTGACGTTCCAAGAATCAAGGTCATAGGTTCATTTTATAAAATGATCTAATTATATATCTTCTATAATATTTATAGGAATTTTGAAAGCAGTTTGTCACGTGTATAAACAATAACATAAAACACAACCTCTCTTACTACTATGATTATTACGATTATTAGTGTACAACCGTTAAAGCTTCCGCGAACTTCAAATGCTTGAGCGAAACCAGTTTACAAAATACACTCACTCATATTTACACAAAAATTACTAAATACTTACTTTTTACTAATTTGTTTTCATATTAATATTTTTTTGTTTTTTTATATTCAATATAAACATGCAATCAGTATGAAAGTATGACATTAAAGTTAGCCTGTCACTTGACTATTTTTTTAATTTTATTTATAGGGCCAGTTTTTCAACCCCGGGTTTAAGTATTTTATCATTGTGAGTATATCTATATATAATAGATATATAGATATATTCACAATGATAAAATACTTAAACCCGGGGTTGAAAAACTGGCCCTTAATAAACAAATTTGTTATAAAAAATTATTAATAAAAAATTGCATTTTCAATTTTTCAAAATTTCTACATGTCAATTTTTTTTCTAATTTTTTTGCACTAATTTATTTAAAAAAAAAAAAACTGTTAAATATCTGCTACTTTAATTTTCATGTAAGTATGAAGTTATTTATGATACTGAAATCACAGCAGACATCTGACAGTTTTTTCAAATTTTTATAAATTAATTATAATAAAAAAAAATATTTCTAAAAATTTGCACTTTGAATTTTTTTTAATTCCTTCATGTGGAATTTTGTTCATAATTTTATAATGAAAATTAATCTAACATATATTTAATAATTTTAAGAATTTTATAACAAATAAATTATAGCAAAAAAAAAAATTGACATTTAGAAATTTAAAAAAATGAAAAATGCAATTTTTAAAAATGATTTTTTTGGAATAAATCTTTTTGTTAAATAAAATTATAAAATTTTCAAGTGACAGCTAACTTTAATGTCATAATTTTATATAATTTTATTGTTATTTAAATCTGAACAAATGTTTGATGTTTGTTAATTTCATTATTATAATTAGCTGGGATAATAAAATGGATTTGATGACAGGGATACATTTCTGCTCTATATAAAAACGATTATCAATAATCTGACATGATCAAACGAGACTGATTATTTATTTATATCCAAGATTGTTTATATTGGTTTTTAGGGCGTAGATGTCCATATAAGTGTCGTGCAAGTACGTATTTCCTTCCTTTTTTCTCTAATAAAAAAAAAAAAAAAGAAATAAAATATAAACATGAACGTATTGTGATCAACAAACGATAAAATAGACGTAAAAATTTGACAGGCCATCTATAAGAATTCTGATAAACTAATTAAAATCACCGCCCACGCAAAAATACTTACCACATCACATATTGTGGTCATAACTGATTATGAATAAAAAGAGACAAGGGACCTCAGATAATTATACATGTATATTGATGTATACACATATCGTTTACGTAAATTCACTTAGTAATATAAAATGACAGTCTTTTAATCAATTCTGATGTAATATATAAAAACAAATTGTCTATATGTACATTTAATAGAGATATATATCAATTGATATTTGATATTTAGTTTAAATAGCACAAAATGATTACCGACGAGAAGTTATTTTTTACGAAAACAGTTCAACATTTGGCGAGATCGTTGGCTGGAATAAAACCTACACCATGGGAAAAGGTATTGTTTATTCAACAATTTACATTTTATAATTTTACTTAACTTAACAATAATCTCCAATAATCAACCTCAAATTAATCATTATATTATTGAAAATTATTATGAAACTGACAATTTTTCAAGTTTCATTTTCAAAATATTTAAAATATGTTTATAGATATTTAAAAACCATCCTCGTAGACAATGGCTTTATTTTTTTTTATGAATCATTTAATGTAATTTTTCAAACCTTCATCAGCTGTCAAAAACTATATTACGTCAAGTAACAAAAAAAAAAAAACACTTACGTCATAGTTATTTATAAAATTTTGCTCAGTAATAATAATTATAGACGTCTCTGATGTACAGTAAGATAATATAAAATTAATAATTTTTTTCTGTTTTAATTAACCAGGTGAATCGACTATTCAAACTATGTCCTCAAGAATCAGCTCAAGGTGTGTTTCGCATCGACCAGCGAGGTCAGGACGCAGTAATAGCTCTTGGTATATATTTCCTGGAGTCTGGACTGCAGCACAGAGATCGAATTTTGCCTTACTTACTTCGTCTTTTGCGTGGATTACCTAAAATAGTATGTCTCGATGAAATAAGAGTAACTCCCGGTGAACGTATACCAGTCACTGAGAGATTCAGCTTCTGCTTGAACACATTGTTGAGCGACGTTGCTGCAAGATGTGATCCTGTTTGTGAAGAAATAATATCCACCCAAGTAGAACTGCTTGCTGCGCTGACGAATCTGATTCGCGGATGTAAAGACCAAAATGGATCCAGAGGGATGCAAGCTAAGATATCGCTTTGTAAATGTCTAGTGCCAATTTTGATTGGACTGGCGCGGGCAATGGGTCGATTTGCGTGTGTAGACCCTCCGTTACTTTGTAGAATTTTCCCACCGCGTGGTCTACCTGTAAATCCATCCTGTAACGAATCACCTCCTAACAAACGGCATTTAAGTTTCACTAATTTTCGTCCCATCATACCGCGATCTCTCAGTGGTAATTTGAACTCACATTTGACGATTGACAACGCCCAAGTTGCATTATCTATACCCGATGACTATCAAGCAGGCAAAAGACCGTCATTGCAGTCTTATTTGTCGGTGCCGTATGATCCTTCGACTTACTTCTTCACTCGTTATGGATCCAGCTTCAATCAATTCCCTCAAATGCGGTGTAACGAGAGTCCTGAAAAACGTACTGGGTTGTTGTTTGGTATTGTTCATTTGCAGAGCGTACTAGCACTTGCTAAGAAACTTTTGACTAAAGATACACTTGATTTTCTGGATGAAGAAGCACAACAGGTATTTTTTTTTTTAATAGAAATGATATTGTTGATTTTTTAATAATTTAAAAAAAAATTAATCTTTTATTTTTATATAACAGGTTTATCATTCTGGACAAGTACAAATATTTCCCTACCGGTCATTCAGCGAAACGATGAATCTCGTAATGGTTGCTCTTTTGCGTGAACTTTTGCAAAACCAACGCGATTTACCAGCACCATTCACTAAAGATGTACAAGAATTTGTCAAGGGTCTTTTTTTATCAGGACAAACTGAGCTTCAATCTCGCCAGCATGATGCAAGTGAACGTGAGGATTATGATACCAATTTCCGGATTGTCAATCGATTCAAAGTTAATGTTATGGCCAATTCTGCCTGTGTTGATTTACTTGTTTGGGCTATTGGTGATGAAACCGGTGAGTTTGTTTTATTTAATTAGAATTATAATAATTTAACACAGTGATCATTGTATTAAATAAATAAAATAAGTATTAAAATAATTATTCAGTGTTAATGAAATAAGTATGACATCGTCCAATGCAGGTTTACATTAATCGTTAAAACATAGATGTAGAACAAACAAAATCAATTATATTTTTTACAGCTAACGGAGAATATGATTTGAGCGCTCTGTACGCGGACCTAGGTTCCATGCTGATTGGCGAGGGTATCAAATATTGTCCCTGTTTTCAAAATCGCGCATGAATTTATCTTTCATTTTCCTTACCTTAAAAAACAAACGTTTTTATTACAAAAACACCTAAAAGTTTTGTCATGATTCATAATCATTATAAAAAATAATAACACTTGTGTTTTGTTTCATTTTTCTTTATGGTGTCGTCTGCGTGCTGTGTAATTAATCCAACTAATCTAAATTGATTGAAAATGAAAAACAACTATACTTGTACTGAAATTAAACCATCTTAATATTCACACAATAATAAATCAATCAATATATTTTTTTCAACAGGTGCTGATAGCCTTTGCAGTCGGCTAACAGAGAAAATAAATTCAAACCATGGACCGACATTAGTACTAGCACATATGCCTCTGCTGATGGTGTGTCTGGAAGGTCTTGGAAAATTAGCCCAAAAATTTCCCAACATCGCAATCACTTCTACGTACAATCTTCGGGACTTTCTTATGAATCCGTCACCGATTCTCGTTAAATTAAATGTACAAGTAAACGAGAAGCAAGCCAAAGACAATCAGTTCCGAGCAGTAGTTCAAGGTAAAGAATTAGAAGATTTGAAACAAACAGTATCGCCATCACAAGCTGCCTTTGAGAAACTACGAGATGCAGCCATTGGTAATCTATGTATCGCCTTAGAAGCTGCACAATTAGTTTACCCGAATTGTGTTCCTGCGTTAGTCAGCAGTGCGTCAACTCGATTGTGTAGTTTAGAAAAAAGTGACGGCTCTGAGCGTTTAACTAATCAACTAGTAGCTGAAAATATAATGATAATGCTTGGTCACGTCGCTGTTGCGCTAAAAGATACTCCCAAAACGACGAGCAGTATTTTGTCGTTCTTCGAGCAGAGTTTTTGCCGTGATCCAAGTTCTCTGGACAGTTTGATCGTCGACCAGCTCGGTTGCATGATAATAGCAAAGTGTGAAGCCCGGAGTGAAATAATGAAAATGTTCTCTGTGTCATTGGAATCCAGTTGCGCAGCTTTTGCTACAAACGTCGATCGAAAACAATATCGACATGTAACTGGAGCTGTTACTAATGCATTGGCTAACATAGCGGCTAATTTGCAAGGCGAAGACGAATTAGACAAACTTCTGAAACGTCTGCTACAGCTATTTGTATCAATGGGTCTAGAAGGCAAACGACAGAACGATAAAATGATGACGACTGCTTTGACAACAACAAACTCCGTTAGTACTATGACTAAAGATACAAGTGTCGCTGGAAATTTAGGTGCTCTTATTCCTGTAATAGCAATTCTAGTACGCAGGTTACCACCAATAAGACAACCAGATCCACGAGTTTTGAAATTATTCAAAGATTTCTGGCTGTACTGCGTGGTATTTGGCTTTGTACCAGTAGAACCAAGTTCCACTAGAGTATGGCCAACCGAATGGTATGAGGGAGTGAAGGAAATTTCAATAAAGTCTCCGTACTTAATTGCCAAAACAAACGCTAAATTGGAAATGCGAGAACTGCAATACACATCGGCTGTACGAAATGAAAGTGTATCAATAAGTGAGCTTCAGGATTTACGTAATCAGATTCTAAGGATGAGTATAAGGTCGAGCGATGTCGCGGCTTATGTCGCTAAAATGCAATTTGCTCAGATAACATATTTGTTATCTGTATATTGGGTCGAGACACTGAGAGTCGGTAACAGTCCCGATCCAAGTTTGCAACCAATAATGGAGTATCTAAGTGATTCAGATTTACAAAAAGATAAAAGCGGAATGTGGCAATGTATATGCAGCGTAGGTGATTCAGTATTTGCTAAATTCAAAGATGTGATGCAAAAGAAACCAAAGGATGAAAAACGTGAACGTGAACTTGAAAATCATGCACAATTTCTTCTAGTCAATTTCAATCATGTTCACAAACAAATCAGACGTGTTGCTGACAAATATTTGAGCGCGCTCGTCGACGCTTTTCCTCATCTTCTATGGAATTGTCGAGTGCTCTGGAGTATGCTGGATATATTGCAGGTGCTGGCTTTTTCGCTTCAGTTGGATCCTAATGAAGAAACGCCGACACTTCACATACCCGGAACCCCTTACAATATTCATTTGATGGATACATTGGAAGCAAGAGCCAAAATAGTCGACGACTTTGCCGCTAGATGCAAAGAAATAATTCAAGAAGCCATGAAATGGGCTCCACATGCCGTGAGGTCGCATTTACAAGAGTATATCAACCAGATTCCATCCTCAGGAATGTGGCATCACACTGGACTAGCTTTAGCGACGGATTCTGTTCTAGAATTCATCGATCTCGCTACACCTTCAACTGGACCCGGAAATACTAACTCCTTGGACAAAAGACGTGACAACAAAAGTGCCAGTTCTTGGCTGCTATCAATGATGTCCAGACGTTCGTGGTACGCCGGTGAAGTGACAGGAATGCTGGCTCTTGCACGTGCAGAATCTCCCAGCAGCGAGACGTCTCCAGATGAAGGTAGAAGTATCGTAATAGAACGTGTAATTTCAGCAGTTCGTCATACCTGTCAAAGTCGCAACGACAATTTGCATCAAAGTGCTTTGTGGCGTGCAACTGCGCTGTTGATTTCTATGCCAGGACTTCACAGGAGATTACTTCACGTAGTAGCCAGCTCACAGACCGAATTATTTACACACACAGCAATGTTAACCGCAGTTGAGTGCTGGCAGTGGATTTTAACAGCTCGGCCTGACTTAAAACTTCGTTTTCTTCAAGAAATGCTAGCAGCTTGGCAGCACACCGTCGACAAAAAAATGGGTCTATTCTCCCCAGAAACAGACGAAGTCAATCCTCTGGCAGTTTACGAAGGCTGTGAATTGTCGCCTAACCCTCCTTATGTAAAACCACATGAAATTTGGATAACATTCATTATCGAGTTGATCGAAACAGCTAAATACTGCTGCCAAGAAACAGTTGAAATGATCGCAATGCTTTTACACCGCTCGTTACCCATGACTGTTGGTACGGCATCTAGTGGTCCAAATTTGAATCGACAGATAGCTGCTGTTGGAGCTCGTTTCAAGCTACTTTGCTGTGGATTATTACTTCTTCAAGGTGACACTCTTTCGAAATCTCTCAGCAAAAACGTTTTGCGTGAGCGAGTTTACTACAATTGCTTGGATTACTTCTGTCGGGAGCGGCAAACTCCTACCCAGGAACCCGAACAAATGCGTGAGGATCTTGTCACATTGATGCGATTTTGGCAAGTAATGCACAGTGACAAGAAGTACTTAATGATGACCGGAGAAGCAGACTTTGAAATGCTGATCGAACAGCAGACTAATTTAGCCTCTATAGAACCGGCTACGCCAATGAATTCATTGACTCCCACGTCACGTGATATGAAACAGCAGTCGAGTACTTGGATTAACACAGTTCCTTTGTCATCCAGCAGCACCGCACTGGGAAAACGAAGCAATCGAAGCAAAAGAATCCTTCACGGTAACGTGATAGTCAAAGACTACATAAAAAAGCGTAACTTGATTCTAGAATTACTGGCCGTTGAAATAGAATTGCTGGTTGTATGGCATAATCCTGGTGGTAGAGCAGAGTTAAGTATCCCAGGTGAAGCTTCTATCGCTGAGTGGCGAGCTAAGTCAATGAACGAACGCTGGCGAGACTGCACTCGTCTTGCTTGGGACATCAGTCCAGTTTTAGCAGTTTTTCTTCCAGTTAGACTGAAAAATTCTGATACTATCATCAAAGAAGTATGTCGGTTGGTGAGACTCAAACCAGTGCCTGTTATGCATGTTCCTGAAGCTCTCCAGTATCTTGTCACGACTGATACTCTTTTGAATGACGCTCCTGAGCTCGTTTATATGCTGACTTGGGCTCGGGTATCGCCGATTCAAGCACTCGCTTATTTCTCACGTCAGTTTCCTCATCACCCAATCTCAGCGCAGTACGCTGTAAGAGTTCTCAGCAGCTATCCAGCCGATGCTGTTCTATTTTACATTCCTCAGCTGGTGCAAGCCGTTCGACACGATACTATGGGATACGTTATAGAATTTATTAAAGCCATTTCTAAGAGATCGCAGGTGGTTGCGCATCAACTGATATGGAATATGCACACCAACATGTATATGGACGAGGATAAGCAAATTAAAGATCCGGATCTTTTTGACACACTTGATGGATTAGTCAAGTCTATTCTGGGCTCATTATCGGGGCCAGCTAAACAATTTTATGAACGCGAGTTCGACTTCTTCGAGAAGATCACAAATATTTCTGGAGAGATAAGGAATTATCCGAAAGGGCCTGAAAGACGTGAAGCTTGTTTGAAGGCACTGCGTAAGATATCCGTTCAACCTGGATGTTATCTTCCGTCGAATCCTGAAGCTATGGTGATTGATATTGATTACAACAGCGGTAACCCTATGCAGAGGTATGTTTTATTTTATTAATTTATTTATTTATTTATTTATTTATTTGACTGTGTTCAATGGATGATAGTTTAAAACTATTATTTTTTTTTTTTTTTTTTTTTTTTTTTTCAGTGCGGCGAAAGCACCCTTCTTAGCAAGATTCCGAGTCCAACGATACGGAATAAAAGAATTGGAAAATATCGCGATGGCTGTGTCAGCAAACGCCAAAGTTGAAACAAAGTGTGCTGGATTAGAGACATGGCAAGCTGCTATATTCAAAGTTGGAGATGATGTTCGACAGGATATGCTGGCTCTTCAAGTTATTAGTATCTGCAAAAATGTATTCCAAAAAGTTGGATTAAATTTGTTCCTCTTTCCTTATCGGGTAGTCGCTACTGCTCCGGGGGTATGTAATTTTATTTATTTTTAATTACATTAAAGTTAACAGTCACTTGATCATTTTTTTATTTTATTTAACAAAAAAATTGCATTTTTAATTTTTAAAAACTTCTACGTCATTTTTTTTTGCCATAATTTATTTGCTTCAAACGTTCTAAAAATGATCAAATATCTGCTAAATTAATTTTCATTTATTCTCAATAATTTATTACAAAAAAAGAAAACATTATACCAACATTAGTAAAATTTATTATGATATGATATTAAATTAATATTATTATTTCAATAGTGTGGAGTGATAGAATGTGTACCTAATGCCAAATCAAGAGACCAATTGGGACGTACAACAGACTTTGGGATGTACGAATACTTTTTAGCAAGATACGGATCTGAGACGAGTAAAGAATTCCAAACAGCTCGCCGTAATTTTATAAAATCAATGGCTGCATACAGTGTCATTACTTATTTGTTACAAATAAAAGACCGACACAATGGAAATATTATGTTGGACGATGAAGGTCATATTATTCACATTGATTTTGGATTCATGTTTGAAAGTTCACCAGGAGGAAATCTTGGATTTGAACCTGATATAAAACTTACTGATGAAATGGTACTTGTGATGGGTGGTAAAATGGAAGCAGCTCCATTCCGATGGTTTATGGAGCTCTGCGTCGAGGCATTCTTAGCCATCAGGTATTTATATTTACATTTTTTCAACAGAATTTTATTGCTCAATATTAATTTATTTTTAAAATTATTTTTCAGACCTTACCAAGAAGCAATTATTTCTCTAGTTTCCCTTATGTTGGACACCGGATTACCCTGCTTTCGTGGTCAAACAATAAAATTACTACGCAGTCGTTTCGCACCTATGGCTACTGATCGTGAAGCTGCAATATTTATGTTGAATGTTATACGCAACAGTTTCCTGAATTTCCGTACCAAGACTTATGACATGATACAGTATTACCAAAATCAAATTCCATATTAAATTATTGTGTCTAATTGTTGTTTTGGTGCCAAGCTGTTAATTAATCGATTCATTTAATGTATATAATGTATGTTATCGCGGCGGGAAACGCGATTTATTTTAAATTAATGGGATATATATTCACTATTATTCAAATATTTAAATTATTTAACGTGTGAATTAAAAAAAAATTATAATATTTATTAATATATACTTTACATTCCATCTACGAATATCAATTGTGTTTACATAATTGCATTTTATTTTTAATTTATTAAATATTGATTGACAATGTGCTAATTCAGTTTCAATAATTGTGAGAATTGTTGAATTTTGTAAAAAAAAAAAAATGTCTATATATTTATGTATATGTATGTATACAAAGTCACTGAACTGTTTATTGTTGGAAAAATAATTAAAGAAAACTCTAAATTTATACTATTCGCTGAAATTATTATAAATTTTAGAATATTAATTGTATATTCTTTATTTTCTACATTTAAATAATTACATTCAATACTTAGTATTTTACTTTATCTCAACTATATTGTCGTTCAAACCGAGGTATGTAATTTTTGGAGGATCTTCAAAAGGAGGATCATAAACTTTGTTTGGAGTAACAGGTTTTACTGGTTCCCTCTTTGCTACGTCCGACCTGAAAGATTGAAAAGTTTAATTTATAAATCTCTGCAGTAAAAATAACAAATGTTTTAGTAATTATATAAATATACGGGTGCCTAGATTATTGATAAATATTTCTAGATTAATATAATAAATAAGACAAATTGATTATCGATGATGATATTTCCGCTGAAATTAACTCTATCACCAAAAATATAAACAACCGTTCTTTATAATTAGAAATATGTTATAGTAATGATAAATGAAAAATACCCTCCAGCAGTAAGCATTTTCGCAGTAGCCAAAACTTCTGGTGGTGTAACTAAACGTCTAGCATCTCTAGTATAGTAATAAACCTTGGACGTTTTGTGGAATGGACCACCAGGAATCGATGGAGGTGGTTGAGTACGTGAAGCAAGTTCATCAGCAAATCTCAAATGAGGAACGAATTTTCTCTAAATCAATAAATAAATTCATTAGCTATATTATTATACAAAATATTGAAAATAAATATCACGTTACATAATGAAAAAAATTAATATGTAAAGTAAATATATTTTAAGGTTATAAATAATACATACACCTCGAATCAGTCGTCTAATTAATTGAACTGTTGGCCCAACATCACGATGAGGAATTTTACCCGACATTTTAAACAAATTTTTTAATCACACAATTGTTACTTAATATTATTTTTCGCACAATAACATCTGACATCCAATGTTCCAATGTTGTTTTTTTTTACTCCAATATCGAAGTTGGTATGATTTGGAGTCTTCGAGTCGAGTCGATTGTTGTCAATGTGTCGGTAACGAAATAAATGTGCTCCGAAAAATTATTTCTAAAAAATTGGATTTTTTATTTTTTTAATTTTCTAAATGTCAATTTTTTTTTCTCATTTTCTTTGACATAATTCAATTGTTAAAAAAGTTCTTAAAATTATAAAATATCTGCTAAATTAATTTTCATCGAAATTACCCAACTTATGGTAATCAATGTGAATTTTTTTTATTTAAAAATGATGTTTAAAAATATTTACAATACCTTCGTGTGAATAATTTTAATTTTTTCAAAAATATATTATTTACTTAAAATATATGACTAATTAATGAACTGTCATTCTCAATGTTTAAAAATAAAAACAATTTTTTGACAGTTAAATCATTTAGTTATTTTTATTATCATAAATCATGTAAAAAAGGTAATTTTTTTTTAAATAAATTTATGAACCGGTAACATTTTCTAACGATTCTTGCGTTCTAAAACAATCGCTGACTATCTTCCATTTGTCACCTGTGGCTGTTACTAAAAATACTTGATTAAATGGCTTAGAAGCTTTGTCACTGTATTTTACTTGGCCACCTACTTTCACTAGAAAAGTCAACTGTTCTTCAACTGCTGGACCTAAAATAATCAACAAATTTATAATCATTGATACAACAAAAATAATTTTTCATATTTGCTACTTTCAGAACACTTACTGGTGACAGGTTGAGCATCTAACGATGTAATATTATGATTAGATACAGGTAAGTTTATCCAAAACTTTTGAATCTCATCTTTTCCTTCAACTCCATTTCCATTCCATATTAATTGAGCTGTGTCAAGGTATAATCTTGCAATGTGCTGTAATTAAAACAATTTAAATACAGTTATAAAAAAAAACAATAGAATCTAGGTGAAAATGAAAAAAATTAACTTACATATCTTCTCTTGTCCAGACTTTCGTAATATAATTTCGTGAACTGTTCGGCTGTTCTACAAGCTTCATCAATTTTACTTTTCAGATCCTGTAAAAATAATAAATTAATTATTAGTTGAAATAATCAATAATAAAATAGAAGGTGAAAATTAAAATAAATGAAAACCTAACCTGTTCCATGTTTCAAATTGGAATTTAAATAAAAAAAAAATTTTATTGTTTATTTATTACTCTAAGCAATTAAATAATAATAAATTATTTAACAATTGAGTTGATATTTTTGCTTAAACAATAAAAACAATTCAACACATGTTTTTTGTAGGTATAGCTGAATTCTCTCAATGCAAAATACAAAACACAACACACTAATAATAATCATAACATAAATTAAATATGTTTATATATGTAAAGATGAGTAGGTATTGATCTAAACAGCTGATGATAATACTGATGCAATATTTATTTCCAAGTAATAAGAAATTCTCATACCTGATGTATTTATTTTTATGGGTCACAAATTTATGCGATTAATTTATTTGATAAAAAATTTATAATCCACGTTGACATTATTAGTAATATTGAATTTTAATAATTTTGATGACTGTGTGTAGTAAAAAATGGGTTACATTGAATTTTTAAAGTAAGTATTGTTATAGAACAATTTTTTATTTATTATGTTTACCAAAATTAATAAAAATTATTTTTTACAGAACCACAATAACTACAGTATTTAAAATAACACTTATCTACCTAACTTGTGTGTTTAAAACAATAAAATTACTTGCTATTTATTTCAAAAGAAAATTTTCTAAAAAAGATTTTAATTCCAAAGAAGTTATTGGAATTTTTCATCCTTACTGCAATGCTGGAGGCGGTGGTGAGCGAGTTTTATGGGCTGTTGTCAAAGCTCTCCAAAAAGAGTAATTATTAAATAATCTAACAATTATATTATTTATGTATATAGATAAATTATTGTTTAATTTTATTTAGATATCCTGATGTACATATCGTGATTTATACCGGCGATCTTGAAGTAGCGCCAGAAGAAATGATTAACCGTGTAAAAAGGACATTCAACATTAAAATAAATCCCGTTGAATTTATTTATTTACATAAGCGCAACTATGTTGAAGCTGAGATGTATCCACAATTTACTCTGCTAGCACAAAGTATTGGATCGTATTTACTTGGATTGGAAGCTTTCGAAGCGCTTCAACCAGGTATTAATTATTATTTTTTAAATTCTAGATCGTTGATAAATATAATAACAATTAATAATAATAATAATTATTATTATTATTTCTTTTTGTGACAGATATTTTTATAGACACTATGGGATACGCATTTACTTATCCTTTATTTAAATATATTGGATGCTGTCGTGTAGGATCGTACACTCATTATCCAACAATATCTACGGATATGTTAAAACATGTTTATCGCAGAGTTATTTCCCATAACAATCGCAGAATAATTGCCAGCAATCCTTTCTTTTCAATGGCTAAAATAATTTACTACAGATTATTTGCAATTGTAAGTTATATTTATGACAGTGAAATTAGCAGACGTTTCAAAATTATTTAATTTTTTTTATTAATTAAATTAGGATTGAAAAATATTTTTTAAAAATTGCACTTATAACTTTTTTACATATCAAAATTTTCTTTTTATTTTTTTTTCTTTTTTTTTATTAATTTTTTTTAATAAGAAAAATTCTAAAAATTGTCAAATGTCTGTTAATTTTATTTTCATGTTATATTTATATTAATTTTAATATTAGTAGTTGAATTATTGAATTATAATAAATATTTCTACAGCTCTACGGTTTTATGGGTCGTTGTGCAGACGTAATAATGGTTAACTCTTCATGGACAGAAGACCACATAAACGCAATATGGAAATGTCCTTTAAAAACATTCCGAGTGTACCCTCCTTGTGATATCGAACGCCTTGTAGAATTGCCTCTTTTGGCAGATGACCAAAAAGGCGAAGTGGTAAGGATAGTCTCCGTCGCTCAATTTAGACCGGAAAAAAATCATCCACTGATGCTGAGGATAATGTACGAGCTGAGGTCTATCGTCAAAGAAGAAGTTTGGGAAAAAGTGCGTCTGATACTCGTTGGCTCTTGTCGGCATGACGAAGACAAGAAACGAGTTAAAGACATGGAAGATCTTTCCAAGCATTTGGCTGTTGACGAGAATGTTGAATTTAAACTTAATTTGCCATATGAGGAATTGGTAGATGAAATGCAGTTAGGTACTATTGGGTTACATACCATGTGGAATGAACATTTTGGAATTAGTGTCGTCGAGGGTATGGCTGCTGGACTTATCATGGTTGCTCATAATTCTGGAGGCCCTAGGTAATGTCAATTAATGATTAAATGATTTTATCTGAAGTTAAAATTCTTATTTTATTTATTGAATTTTTTTTTTTTACAGAGCGGATATTATTGAAACACAGCTCAGCAGCCAAACAGGATTTTTAGCGACTGATGCTGAAGAATATGCAGCAATAATTGCTAACATAATCGAAATGGACCAAGATACCAAAGACATTATAAGAAATGCTGCCAGAGCTTCAGTGGATAGATTTTCTGGGCAACAGTTTGAAAATGAATTCATCCGTATCATAAAACCACTTGTTCATACCAAATAAAAAAATTCATATTTTATATTCAATTATAAATTATAAGAAAAAAATATTCAGTATCTTATTTCATATATATTTTAATAATTTATAAAAGTTATTTCTTATAATTTTGGTTAATTAGCGGCATTTAACAAACCACATCCATTGCACTCGAGAATATACTGCTTTGAGTCACCAGCGTCCCGATTAGTTATTACTTGACATCGAAAACCGCGATCTCCTAACATTAATTCGGCTACTTTTATTGCAGTCTCCGTGTGAAGAGTAAGTTGTTGTTTGCCTAGTAACAATCTTGAACGACCATGCGCCAAAGCCATTAAAAGTACCATCTAAAAAATAGAAAATTTTTATAATTTATAGAAATAATTATACTCATTAGTAACATTGAAAAAAAATTAATTACTTGATCTTGCATATGCTCATCAATGCACGAGCCATCGAGAATAGGATTAATAATTTGCTCAGCAGCCTCAGTAGCGGGCTCTGACTTACTGTCGCGACGATTTGAGCCTAATCCAGAGCCACCGAAAACAGATCCACTGTTCAGTTGACAGACGACACTAGAAATAAAATTTTGATTGTAAAAACTTGTAAAATTTTAAAGGAATAGGGTTTAAATGATTACTTGATGCCAGATCCATTGCCAACAGCCATTTCTCTATCTTCTCGATAAGCTTCAATATTAATTGATGGAACTTGAATATTATTATCAGTCAATTTTTTATGTATTGTATTTTTAGTCACTTCTGCCATATTGTAAGCCTCCTAAAATTTTCAAAAATATGAATAATAGTTTATTATATAATGATAATAATAATAATTTTTGTTAAAGTGATGAATACTGTACAGATAAAGGAACAGAACCAGCAACGTAAGCCCATCCTGAAATACTTTTTATGTCACCCAGCTGCAGCATCTCAACAGAGTTCAAACTTTTTATTGGTGGTATTCTGAGATGAATTTCTCCGCCTCCTTTTGGGTAATATCCCCTAAAATTAATAGATATTTTACAATTAATTTTAATTTTAATAATAATATTATTAATTTTACTTTCTTACCTTTTTAAAACAGTAAAGTCAAAATCAGCACCAAATTTATTTAACCAAGGTCGAAATACTTCTGTGAGATATTCAATGTGAGGACCCATGGGCACGTTTGTTCCTCCTCTAAGAATGAGGGTAATTAGGTCACCAGGAGGCAAAAACAGTGCTATGGGCAACGCGACCTGAGCGAGCAAAATTGTACAACCTGCGGTTTGGGTATCAGCATGAAAAGTTCGCTTCTGTGTTTGACTTAAAACTCCTGGAATGAATTCTAATCGCGTTGAGCCAGGGTAAGCGCCCTTTACCTGAGCATTACACATACTCTGTGCGATTTCCACTCCTGTAAAATAAAAAAATTCAAATTAAATTGAAATTAACAGATATCTAAAATGTTTATGGTTTTTTCAATAAATGAGTTACTATAAAAAAAATTTTTCCTATCAGAACTTTTAAAATTTCTAAATGATCAGACGTCTACTAACCATTTTATAAAATTAAAATGGTACTGAAATTGAGAGACATCTGATAATTTTTATAACAAATAAATATTACAGCAAGAAAAATTTATTTGAAAAATTCCATCCTTAATAGCTCTAAAAAATTGTAAATACAATTTTTTAAAAATAATTTTCTTGACTTATTTTATTTTTCAAGAATAATAATCAAATAATTATTAAGTGTCGGCTAATTTCAGTTACATAAATTAAAATACATATGACAACGTTTAATAATAAAATTTCATCAAGTACCTTTAAGATGTTGGGCGGCTAATCCTGGCTTTGGACGTCCAGCTCGAATATTTTCAATTTCAATCGGTATTTTATAAAGAGCACTCAAACTTACTGCTATTCTCAGTACTTGTCCACCCTTTAAACAATTATTAATTCAATAAATTAATCACCAAGTTTATCAATTCAATATTAATTATTTAATTTTATACTTACCCCTTCTCCTAGACTTCCATCAATTTTCATCACTGACATGACTTTAAATAGCTTTATTTTGATATTATAATTAATTAATGCAATTGTGCAATAATTACTTATGCAATTTTGATAAAACTTGTGATAATTAAAAAATATATAAATTATTGTTATTATTTGTTTGTTATTTTAAAAAATTGAAATGTTTGTTTACATTAACGTCAAATGACCAATTTAGAGTGATAATACCTTCTTTTAGATTAATCTTTAATGAGCGTCTGCATCGTGCATCTGCACGTGTGCTGTCTATCTTTCTCTTTATAAATATAATTTGTCTCCCAGTACTTCTAGACTCCCACCACTGCTTTCTTTACTATCCCTGGTCTTACCAGAAAATGAAATCACTAGACAAATAGTAGCTTTCGACGACAGAATTCTCAAATAGGTTATAATTATAATTGTATAAAAAAATAATTAAATATAAACAAATTTCAAACTTGTCATATTTATGTCAAAATATTTATTTTTAATTGTCGGTAAGAAAGTTTTCTAGTTGAGTCAGCTGACTCCGAACAGCAATAAATATTTCAGAGATTATGACAACACTGTACCTGTATTATCTAATTATTCATCAATAATAATTGAATTTATTTAAAAAAAAAAAAATAAATAAATAAAGGTAAGAAATTTTAATTATAATTAATTCTTTTAGTGATTATTATTAATAAATTAATTAGTAAAGATTGTTATTTTTAGAAAATATGAGACGCAAAGCAGGAATTGGTGCTATTCATAAGCAAAAATTAGAACAAGAGAAGTACAAAGATAAAGGTACAGCAATTCAAGAGAATCAGTTTGAACAGATGACCAAACATATGGAGATGTTTCGAACAAATCTTGAAGAATTTGCAACTAAGCACAAGAATGAAATTAAGAAAAATGCTCAGTTTCGTAGACAGTTTACGGAAATGTGCGCGTCAATAGGTGTAGATCCGCTGGCTTCGGGAAAAGGTTTCTGGTCAGTACTAGGAATCGGGGATTTCTATTACGAGTTAGCGGTACAGATAGTCGAAGTTTGTCTTGCGACAAATTATAAAACTGGTGGTTTGATATCCCTCGACGAGCTCAGGGACCGGCTGATTCAGGCCAGAGGCAGACGGAAAGAACACCAAGAGATAACTAACGAGGATTTATTGGCAGCGGCTAAAAAATTAAGAATATTTGGCAGCGGGTTTTCAGTTTTGCCAATTGGCCGGGGAAAATATTTGGTGCAGTCGATACCCGGCGAGCTCAGTATGGACCACACGGCTGTGCTTCAGCAAACCAGCATCGCCGGGAATGCTTACACCTCAGTTTCATTATTGGAAAGTGAACTTAAATGGGAACGCGATAGAGCGCAAAAAGCTCTTGATCACATGGTTAAACTAGGACTTGCTTGGCTTGATCACCAGGATGAAAATGGAACGCTTTATTGGTTCCCCAGTTTATTCACGGCGTGTGTCAATTCTAATTCTTGCTAATTATTAATTACTAAAGTATACTCATAAACTATAATATAATAATAATAATAATAATAATAATAATAATAATGATAAGTAAGTTTAATAATATTCATTTAATAAATAAAATCTTTTTATTCTGCACGACAAAAATATTTGGGCTTTATTTACAGGTTTACCACTACTTGCGGTTGAAATGAATTTAAAGCTCTGTCACCTTGCACCTTCACCATGATCGTATCTGAATAACATTTTAACATTTATATGGATTAATATAATTATGTAAGTTGATAAATACTTCTTTTATAAATTTATTTTTTACCTTTCCATCAAGTGAGCACGTTGTACAGCGACTATCTGTTGTCGACAAGTCACTAATTCTTTATTAAGTTCTTCGTTTTCATTTTTTAATATACTGACTTTTGAACGGAGTTCTTTGTAACGGCTTTGAAATTTATCGGCTAATGACTGGGCCTCTTCTTTCCACCTGTAATAATTAATCATTCAAAAAGTATTTATAATCCTGATTGAAAATTATAAAGATGGAAATTTCTTTAATTATAATGACAATTACTTGTTAGACAGTTTCTGATGGACTTTGACGTATCTCGTTAACTCAGATATTTTTTCTTCGTATTTATCTTGCATTATTTTTAAATCAATTGACTTATCCAGGTCCATCGATTGATTTTCGTTGATAAATCTGTAAAATAGTTTCATTAAAAATAAAAAATTTTAAATCATATCGAGGGTTTTCTAACGCAACCACGTATCTAGATTTTTGAAGATGAAAGGGTTCAACTGAAAAATTAATAATTAATTATAAACGCGTTACTGAAAAAAAATATTAACCAGATTAATAAATACGATTGTATTTTTAAAAAATACAATTGATAAATATTGTTTCTAGATGAATATTAATTTTTTATAAGTTATTTTTTACCTCATCTCTAAAATTGTTATTTTTAAGATACAAGATTACGTCAGAAAACCATCGATATCAAAAATTAACTCACATCGAATGATGTTTGTTGTACTCTTGAGCATTTTTCTCCAAAAAATTTATTTTCTCCAACAGTGAATTGGCTCTAGCAGTTGCTTTGTCAGCTAAATCATTAGCTTTTCGCAGTTCTTCTTGCAGTTCCCTAATACGGGAGTCCAGCAAACGACGTTCGTTATCACGCCGAGTTATTTCGCGATCAAAAGTTAGTTGTAGTGTTCTCAGCTCATTTGAAATACCTTCGCGTTCTTCGAGAGCCCGCGCAAAACGTTTTTCAAGACCAGCATACCTCTCAAAAGCTTCTTTGGTTCTGTCGTCAGCTTCTTTGACCCGATCCTCAACATCTCTCATGCTGTACATTTGATTCCTTCTCAACCGATCGTTGCAACTTGCCAATTTTTCCTCGAGCTCATTAACTTTATTATCAGACTGGCGAATTCTCTCTTCGTACTTACGCCTACAAGTTTCTTCGCAATTTTCAATCTTGTATTCAGCGTCCTTCAACTTTTGCTCCAACTCAATGGACCTTGAATTATTCCTCTGCAGCATATCTTCTGAGCTATGTCGCACTTTTAGTAGTTCTTCTTCATACAATCTAGACTCTCGTTGTACGCGATCAATAAGCGTCCCTTTATCTCGCAGTTCCGCTTTGAGTTCTTTTATTTCAAATAAATACTTTTGTATATTTTTCTCGTAGTTACTTTTCAACTCAGTCAACTCTTTGTCTAACCTTGCGGTAAATTCTTTAGATAAATTAGCCAGTCGATTTTCTAACTTTGATTTCTCCTCAATAACTCGAGCTTCGCGCTGTAAAACTATTTCTTTTTCCCTTACCGCCGTCTCTATCAACTCAATAGCCTCAGCAACTTTTTCTTTAGACTCTAGATCCTTAGCAGCTAGTCTGTTGGCAAATGCTTTCATTTCTATCAGCTCATTGTCGACTTTTAATTTAAGATTCTGAATATTCTCAACTTGTTGCTTAGCATTGATACAGTCAGCCTTTAAAATTTCAATAGTTTTGCTACTTGTTTCTTCTTTGGACGTTAGTTCATTTTGTAAATATACTATCTTATTTTCTAAATCAGTCTTTTCATTTTTAAGAAGAGCCAACTTATCTCTAGTAGACTCCCAGAGGGTTTGGTGTCGAGTGAAATTATCTCTTACTTGAATAAGCTTTGCTTCTAGTACCTTAATAGCTTCTGAATAAGCTTCCTTAACACTATTTATTTGCTCTTCATAATACTTACTTTTAGTTTTACCATCGGACGGATGAGTTGCTTTTAATTCTTGCTCAAGTACATCAACAGCTTTCAGAGCCATTTGCCATAATTGAAACATTGACTCTTTCTCCGATTGTATTATTGATATCTGTTGCTTTAAATTGTCTATATTTTCCTGATTACCAGCATTGTTTGGACACTCTGTATTATTGGCATGTTTAAATGATTCGCGAGCTAAGTCAGACGCATTTTTATTTTCCTGCTTCAAAATTTCTATCTCTTCTCTCAAACGCTTCTGCTCAAGCTGAAATAATAATTAAAATTATTTTCAGATCAATGCAATAAATAAATTAAGTGACTTACCTTGCAAGCGTTTAAATCTTGCTGAAGACTTTCTACTATCGTTTCATACTCTTGGATGATTAAATTTTTTTCATCAGCGCTAAAATTAAAATAAGTATACGAAAGTGACTGTCAAGAATAAGTACAACATATAATTTTATTTTATACAACTAAAAATTAATGTATCTTAATAAAATATTTTGACATTTATGGTTATGCTTTCTTACCCATTTTCACATGCTCGATATATTTCAGTCTCCATTATTTTGTTTATATTTTTTATTTAACAAATTAGTTTTTAAACATCCAGTGGATAGATAAAAATATAAAAAGAAATATTTTTCTTGTATTTATTAAGAAGTAATTCATAGTATAGATGTAAAAATAAATTTTTGATTGATATTTTAGTTTGTTGTGACTATAAAAAAAAAAAAGTAAAATAAAAAAATAATAATATCAACCCCAAACAACGCAGACGTCAAAGTGTACAAACATTAAAGTCCGTCCGTAGGGTCTCACTTGAACGATTGCGCTCGTTAGTAATTTATTTAAAGCAATACCAACATTGCAAAATGACGTAATTTTCTTGGAATTGGATACGGAGTGTGACTAATTTCCAGCATTACTTTGGATATTAAACTATACACATAAACATGTTGATAACAGAATTTCCTATAAGATTTATTTACAGAAACTAATTGTTTATATAAAAATATTGTAGATAAAAATTTATGTGAAGCAAATTTTTTCTAAAATTTTGTTATGGTTTAATTTAATTATCGATTTTATGAGTTAATTTTCTTTTACAATGACGTATAGTTTGGTTACAATCTTACCAATATAATTTTCATGGGTGAAAATTTACCTCCTCTTCAATTCCTGAAAAATAATAAATACATTTAAAATAAACGGTGATTAAAATTAGGTAAAATAAATAAATTATTACTTATTTTAAATTATAAAATAAATTTCACAATTTTTTATTAAATAATTTTATATTTGAGTAAAACGATCAGCTGCTGGTTATTATCATCAGCTGATATAATTTATATGTTGAAAAATAATAAATGGTATAATAATTCTAATTCTAATTCAATTTACACAGGCTTAATTTGGTATAATAAGAATTAGTAAGTTGATAAAATTAATCCTGCAACAATTACAATAAATAAATACAAAAATATTTGATGTAATAATTGTAAATCTAAAAGTTCAAGGTCAAAGTTGAGTAGCCGTTGCCCGGGTCCAGGACATTAATGAGAAGATGGCGCTCCGGTAAGGACAATAAAACAGAAAAGCCGATTCGCGGCTATATGGAGGAAGGTGTCTAGATATAGAGTCCGAGTCCGGCTATCTACTGCACAGCCTACCGTCGTCGGTCTGCGTCTGAGAGCAGTAAACACCACTCCATTAGTATGGAGTTCAATAAGTTGCTTAAACAATAGTGTCTACAACAAAAACAAGTTAATTGTTACAATTATTGAGTACAGTGTTTTGTTTATAATTACAATTGTGGCCACTGTCTGATAATTTAAAGCAAGTGTGATGTGTTCTAGGTGAAGACGCGAGGGGTAACGTCATAAGCGGGGCAGAGGGCGATACTCCAAAGACCCTAGTGGTGTGTCCACTCGGAGGGAGAAAAGGAGGGAAAACAACAACGATAATAACAATAATAATAATAATAATAATAATAATAATACACTTAATAATAAAAATATTATTATTGATTTAATTATTTTTAGGATAATAAAAACAAGAGTGATAATTAAAATTAAAAGGTTAAATTAAAAAAGTAACGGGAATAAAAGGGTACTGTGTTGTAAAACTAGTTGGAGTTGATGTGCGTGAAGCGGGCGCGTGGTACGCTCGGCGCGGCGACCACAAATGAGCTCGGTAATATCATCAGCCTCGGGGGCGCCAGAATTCAAAAAAAATGTCAAACGTATCCCCGTCATCACAATTATTAATAAATGGTGATAATGATGTTGTAGTTGCTGGTAATTATCAAGAGTTTCACGTTTTGGACACTAATCGGTTGGACATAAGTGGAATTAGTGTCGCCTCTGACTTAGGCGCAATTGTAGAAGGTGTCACATCGACATCAGCATCTTCGGTAGTTGTTGTTGACTACCATAATCATCCGGAGCTACAAAATACACCCTCGTCTACTTCTACATCGTCTTCTTCGTCTTCATCTTCATCCTGCTCGTCATCATCATCCTCTACGTCACTGCTGTCACTTGCAGACCAAAATATTTTGCAGCCTGGTGCTGTTGTTGTTGTTAACTGTGTTGGGAGTGAAGGTACCGGTACCGCTACCGGTGTCGCTGTTAGTGAAGGTGACGGTGACGGTGAAACTGGTAACATTAATAATAATAATAATAATAATAATATTGGTATTGATATTGATAGTAATAATTTAAATAATAGTGATATTAATAATAGTGGCAGTAGTGCGGCAACAGCCGCCTACAACATGGTAGCGGCGATGAACGAGCACTTGTCGTCCTCATCGGCGACCAACAGCGCACGTAGTACGAGCGCGCAAAACGAATTTATAATAACAAGTGGACACGCGGCTACTGACAACGTTGAAGATATTGTCGGCGACAAGCCAACTTCTGCTGGCATACTTACTTTCCCCTGTGACTTTGATCACATGTATGCCAGCATGACTGACGGTGGAACCCCGGCAGTAGCCGCGACCGCAACATCGACCCTCGGAGTCAGCCCTCTCAGGGGCAACGAGCCACGTCTTAACGATCTCGCGGAGGTCAAGCACCTTAAGGAATTGTTATTGCTGCATCTTGACCTTATTCAGCAGCAATCTGAGCAAATAGTTACTAAGGATAAATTACTGGCTGCTCTCAGACAGGAAAATGAAACGGTAGGTTACTTAAATATCACTATTCTAATATTTAAAATTAAAAAATTTGAGTATTTTAATAAATAAAATAAATTTTATATTTTTCTTTTCTATCATTTGTTAATAATGAAAATTAAGTTAGCCGACATCTAAAAGTTTTTAGAATTTTCTTTTATTAAAAAAATTAATACAAAAAAAAATAAAAAAAAAAAAAAATTTCATTTGTAAAAAACTTTAAAAACTGTCAGTGCAATTTTTAAAAAATATTTTTTTGTTCTAATTTAATTATTAAAAAAAAAAAATCATAAAATTAAAAACGTCGGCTAACTTTATTTATTATTTGTTAATAAGTGATTTGTTTATAAAAATCGTCTGTCGTCTATTTTATTTTTAGTGTCAGAAATCTTGATCTATTATTTTTAGACAATCAGCTGATTTTTAGTCTTGTCATTTTTTATCTATTATTCTTGTTTATTTCTACTAAAAATATATTTAATAATTACTTTTTATTAGTGATTTGTCAAAAAAAAAAACTTTATTTCATTAAACTATTGTTTTATTTTTATTTTCTTAAATGTCAAAGATTTGACTTTGACAAAACCGCATGATGGCGCATCGATCAGTAATTTTTTTTTTCCATTTCTAATGATAAAATAAAATATGACTTTATCAACTGAATTTAGGCGCGTAATGGCTTTTTAAAGAAAAAATACCGGTACTGTGTTATTTACAAAAACTAACCATATTCTTAATTCGCACGGAGGACGTTGTGTTGTGTTATTGCTAGTTATTTTGTAATTAAGGTTATAAATATGTATTATAAAGGAATAAAATTGTTACAGCTCAAATTGCGACTGGAGCGTATGGACAGACGAGTTAATTTACAGAAATTACGATCAGAGAGTACCGAAAATTCAATTGCATCGGACATTGGACCATGCTCACCGCCCAGCCTCCATTCGGTAAACATTGTCACACCACTTATTGTCAACGAACAGCATCACAAAAATATTTCCGCCGAGTGTAATAGTCCTCAGTACAATGAGAGCTTTAAAATACGTCTCAACACCAGCGGGGGAATTACAACCGTCAAACAAGAACATACCAATGATAATTTGAATAAATTAGACATCAAACCAGACGTAAATGTGGCCGGCGGTGGTGATGCCAGACTTGAATGGGAGAGTAAGAGAAATAAAAGAAAATCAGATCCAACACCTTTGCCAAGCAGTGGTAGTAAACGTAAACGTGGTGTTTCTTGCTCGTCGACAATTAGCAATGACACGACCTCCACGATTCCCGAAGGCAAAAACTCAACCCACGATTTGAGCAATAGAAAGTCTGATAAAAAAGGCAAGTCAATTATTAAAAAAGAATCATTTTTAACAACTGAAGAGCATTATTATACTGCTATGGGTGATCCTCATTATAATCTAAGGACTAAACCTGAACTAGAGGATGATTCTAATAATTTAGAAGTACCTAGTTGGAGAATAAAGGTTTACACTAGTTGTTATACAATGGAGGGTACTGAGAATTTGGACGATGAAATTTTTAATAAAAGACATTTGAAGCTGGAAAATGATGAAAGAAGGAGAAAACGATGGGATGTACAAAGGATAAGGTATTTATTTATTTATATAAATATCAATATAATTTATTGTATAAAAATTAATTGGTTCAATTATTTGTTTACAGAGAACAAAGGCATATTGAAAAACTAAAACAAAGACAAGAGCGTCAGAATCATCAAGCGACTTGTTACAACACTAACCACACTGGACCATGTCCGTCTAGTACTGAGGAAGAAGTCATCACTACGCTTTGGCCGGATGTGGATCAAGTACAAAGTCTCCAAGTTGATCCTGAGCTACCAGTATCTGCATTTGGAGCTCCCATACCTAGTTTTACCCCTTCGTGAGTTATTTTATCTATTATTATTTCTTTGATTTTTTTAGTTGAATTTTTAGTAATGTAATTTTTTATTACAGTGAATTTTCTCTTCCGTGGCTCCACTCGGCGAGATCCAAAAGCCGGCGACCTAAACGATCAACTGGCAGAAGAAAATCTCGGAGATAAGCATTAGAGGACCTTTTATATTTTATTTTATAATTAATTATATCTAGTTTATATATTTTAGTTTAGTTTTTATTAAATCAAAACTTTAATTTAATATTATTTTACATTTCACGTATTTAAATTTTTACTCATGATTCCTGTGCAAAAAAGGCCACCAAAGATGTTTTTTATGATTCAATTTTTTCTTTGCTTCTTTTTATACTGGAAAAAAAAAAAAAAAAAAAAAAAATGACTGCGCGTCAGGATGAAAGGTATCTAATAGTTTTTTTTAAACATTAATTTCCATGCTAAAAAACCGACCTTTTTTAAAAGTAATATTTATTGATTTTTTTAAATAGTTTAGTATTTGTAACTTTTTAGGAACATTTCATAACTTTTTTGTTTCCATAAAATTACATAAATTATTTTGTTTTATGAAATTTTGTCTTCAATTAAATTGATAGTATATTTTTTGTATGATTGTAAAAATTTTAGAGAAAGTTATACGATACAAATAAAATAATTGTAAAAAATAGTCTAGGATCGAAGAAACAAAGCCCCAGCTAAAAGTCTCAAAATGCGTTTATTCTTTTTATCTATAACATTCATTACATTACTTATGACCATTATTTAATATTGATGATTAAATTAACTAAGTGAATAAAAATTGATTGTTAAGTAATGAAAAAGATATGACTTATTTATTTTGTAATGGATATATTTTAAAATTAAATTTGGGGACAAATTATAATAAAAACATTATTAAATATGAATTGATAAAGAAAACATGACAAACAAAAGTATGATCAATATTTATTTAAAAATTTAATTTAACTTTGAAATTGTGAAAGAAATATTATGTTCATGTTGAAATATTATAAACGGAAATAAAAATAACCGTCCAGTTATTATATTGAATGATCAGGTATCAATAAAAAAAAATATTTAATCTGAGGTTTTGTCAGCCTAGCAAAAGTACAATTAAAATGTAAATAAAATTTTTATTAATAACTTTTATTTTTTTTTTATTTCTATTTAATAATTATGATTTCTTAAAACTATTGTTAAAAAGAAGCTTTATTTTATTTTTCATGAAAAGTAATTCGTTAATTACTATTATAAATGATTAAATATTTATACGACGTATAAATATCAACAAACTATAATAAATAAACAACAAAGATAAAATAAAAATAAAAAAATATTAATGTATAAATTTAAAACAAAAAATAATGGAATTTACTTTCAGATCTGTCTCAATAATTTACCGAACTGTATTATATACTATTGCTATATATTATATATATTTTAGAAATAAAAAAATATATGATAGAATAAATATTAATAATTATTAATTATAATAATCATATACTAATATAATTAAATAAAATTTCATTTATCCCTCGTACTTAAAATTATGGAGAAAAGAAATTTAGAGTATTACAAATACTTGTATTGAAGCGAATAATTGGAGACAATCATAAAGATTAATCTGGTTAATTGATACATAATAGTAATAATAAATAAATTAAAAGGAAAATAATAATTAAATAATTAAAAACATTTTCTGTGAACAATAGAGGGTCCAGATTCATCATACTCTTGTTTAGAAATCCACATCTGTTGGAATGTACTAAGACTGGCTAATATAGATCCTCCAATCCATACCGAGTACTTCCTCTCCGGCGGAGCGATTATTTTTATTTTCATGGTTGACGGAGCAAGCGCTGTTATTTCTTTCTGCATTCTATCAGCGATACCCGGATACATTGTAGTACCACCAGAAAGAACGGAATTGGCGTAAAGATCCTTACGGATATCAACATCACACTTCATTATTGAGTTGTAAGTTGTTTCATGGATACCACAGGACTCCATTCCAAGGAAGCTGGGTTGGAACATTGCTTCAGGGCATCGGAAACGTTCATTACCGATTGTTATTACCTAGTTTAATTAAATTGCAATTAATTGTTATTCAACTAGCATGTAATAATAGCTATTATTCCATAAAATTTTAAATTATTAATCATAAATTATTAATTATAAATTATAAACACCTGTCCGTCTGGAAGCTCGTAACTTTTTTCAAGCGCGCTGGATTCTGCGGCCGTTGCCATTTCCTGTTGGAAGTCTAGAGCAACGTAGCAAAGTTTCTCTTTTATATCACGTACAATTTCACGTTCAGCCGTCGTTGTAAATGAGTACCCACGCTCAGTAAGGATCTTCATCAAGTAGTCCGTGAGGTCCCGACCCGCGAGATCCAGACGTAGAATCGCATGCGGCAGCGCATATCCTGAAATATTTATAAATAAGCAAAATTACTCAAATCATCATCATCATCATCAATTTTTATTTAAAGCTTGCTCATAAAAGGACGTCAAGCAGTGTAATAAGCTTGTATTACTTATATCCTTGTAATGAAAACTTGTTTCCATCTAAAGACACTGATTTAAAGGTCAAAACCCAACTTGGTAAAATCATCTTTTATTTTTTAGGCTCTATTTAGCTCTCATAAATTTATATCAACATTTATATATAAATACTATTTAAAATAGAGCATGAGAATTAATTTACGCCTAATTTATCATCTATCTTTTTATATTCATACACTGAACTGAGAATAGAATAGTCGGTTTTAATGGAATGAAATACCAGATACATACCTTCATAAATGGGAACCGTGTGAGAAACTCCGTCTCCGCTGTCCAAAACAATACCCGTGGTTCTTCCAGAAGCATACAGTGATAGCACTGCTTGAATAGCGACGTACATTGCGGGTGAATTGAAAGTTTCAAACATAATCTGGGTCATTTTTTCTCTATTTGCTTTGGGATTCAATGGTGCTTCCGTCAAGAGGACTGGATGTTCTTCTGGTGCGATTCTCAGCTCGTTGTAAAATGTGTGGTGCCAGATTTTCTCCATGTCATCCCAGTTTGTAACGATACCATGCTCGATCGGGTACTTTACTGTCAGGACACCACGTTTGCTTTGGGCTTCATCTCCAACATAACTGTCCTTTTGGCCCATACCCACCATTATTCCCTACACCAAATAAATTTATTAGTTTTATAAAATTTTAATCTTCAAAATTGCTTTTTTTTTTTTTTTTCAAACAAAAAAATTAAATATAAAATAAAATTTTGAAGAAATGTATGCAAAAAATTTTTTTAATTTTTAAATGATGGCTAATTAATTTTTTTATAAAAATTTACTTAATTTCTTTGAAAATAACATATTTTATTAATTATAATAATTTATGACATTAAAGTTAGCAGTCACTTAATTATTTTTTAGTTTTTTTTTCTAACAAATAAATTTATTCCAAAAAATTATTTTTAAAAAATTACATTTTTAATTTTTTAAAATTTCTACATGTCAATTTAACTTTCTTATTTTTTTTTTGCCATAATTTATTTGTTAAAAAAATTCTTAAAATTATCAGATATCTACTAAATTAATTTTCATTAATAATTTACCTGATATCTAGGTCTTCCAACGATGGACGGAAAAACAGCACGGGGTGCATCATCCCCCGCAAACCCGGCTTTACACATCCCGGATCCATTATCAACAACAAGAGCGGCCACATCATCGTCACACATTTTGGAATATTTTTAATAAATCACTTAACACAAACTTTTATTTATATTTTTGTTTTTTTAATTATTGATGATTGACTAGTTATTAATAATAAAAAAAAAAAAAAAAAAAACACCAATGAATCGCGAATAGTGTATGTCTTGTTTTAAAAAGCAATAATATGAGCCGTGAAGCTAACGCGCGGTTCTTTATATCAACTCCCCTCTTAATCAACGGTGTTTTTTTTATCTTAGCATATATGGACAAACGTTCGTACACACGTTGCTCTAAATAAACTTACAGCCTTTTATACAATTTCAATGCTAAGATATCATTAACGTTTTTTTGGAATTTTTTTATATATTATATATAAATTTCTCCGATTATTATCTATTTCTTCTTCACAGTGATACAATAGACTCTTTTCACTCCTTACTTTTATGATAATGATGTTTGTCACTCGGCCGCTTTATTATCATAAATTCTGTTTCTATATCAAGAAAAAATTTTCAGCTCTTGCTTGTTATTTAAATAAACAAATACATACCTTAACTAACTACATAACCATTGACATCAATCATAAATTATATCAAGAATATTCAAATTCAGGATTGTTAATAGTTAGTAGTAAATGCGCTAATTACTCTTGATTGCTGTCACCAATTAATTATCAAACTAGCTGATACTTATTCAGAGACTGAATGAATCCATGATAACCAGAGCATACCAAGTTTATATATATTTTATTTTAAATTTAATTCCTTTTCTTCTCTTCAGTAATCGCTTTGTCTTTTCCTTAATCAACTTGGGCGACTACATCACAAGAGAAATTACACCGCTAAAATTGAGTACACGGAAAATCATCATCATCATCATTATAAATATATACAGATTCAACAATCGACGATGAGAAAATCACGCAAACTTTTTGTTGAGCAAAAAAATATTTGGAAATCTTATTGCTATTATAATTATGTCTATTATAAATTTATTATTATTGATATGTATCACTTTACCTTGCGTTAAATTATCCTTGACCTCAATTTAATATTTAACAGCGTTGTGGTGAATAACTATTACAATTTTGTATATAAATTGGAAGTAATGACGGTAGAAAATTGATTGATAATTGAATTCTTTTTAAATAAATAAGATAACTAAATTAATTATTGGACGTGATAAATCCTTGCCATCCAAAAAGGACACAAGTGGTGAAGGCAAACTACTTGATACTCTTTAAGTTAATGTAATTTGCTCTTCAATTAGGTATTCTTTTATGACACATCCGTGTTTCGTATGTTTTTTCCTTACAAATTATAAAAAAACACAAAACTACAACACTAAATTACTCATTTGTTTTTTATCAACTGAAAATTAATTCATAAATTGTTATTTAATTTAAATCATCATGTCAATGTTTATTTCAATAGAAAAAAAAAAAAAAAAAAAAAAAAAAAAAAAAATTAAATGACCAATAAGACGGTAATTAGTTTCTGTCATAAAGTGTTAATTGGATTGAATGGAGCTAATTATGAGGTTTTTAAAAAAAAAGCATTCGATTAATGACTGAAACGAGAATGAATGAAAAATTATTATTTTTTGTTAGAGCTTTGCACTTTTAGATAAAATTCAAGGCTGTTTAAATATTTCCTAGGCTTACAGGAGCGTCAACGGTGATCATCGTTCCATACGATGCTTATGACGCACATTGTAACATCATTATAACTGCCAGATTGCATTCTTTAATTAACAGCTTGCTCAATAATAATAATTGGGCTGTAAAGTAGTAGCGTGTCTACTTTATTTTTGTATATATTAGGTTTAATTTCTTATCTGTTGATTATTTTCTTCCTCATATTACACGCTGTCGATGACACTGATCCTCAATACTTAAATATAACTTCTTGATTATATATTTGAGCACTGAAAGTAAATAATTTAATCGATACAACTATAACGAATAATTAAAAATATAAATAGGAAGGTTTTATACAATACGCATGAGTTCTTAATTATAATAAAATAAATTTTTATTTATTTATCCCAAAGACCGATTTCTTTCATACGAGTTTGAAAATATTTTTCAAGCGCATTCGCACATCTGAAATATTCGGTGTCAGGACTGTTGTATAATCTGCAGTTCGTAAATATTCTCGTCATATCAGCAATAAAAAGTCGCCTTGTCACGTAATATCGAGCTTTCAATCGCTCCGTCATTGTTTTGAGATCTGTAAAAAAAAAAAAAAAAAAAAAGTTAATTAATATAATCAAAAAAAATAAATTAGATTTTATAAAGCTTAACATTAAAATAAAAAAACAAACTGATATCTTACCCATTGGATATTTTATGTGGTCATAGTAATCAGGAACATCATTTTTATCTACAGGTTTCAGGAATGGCCAAGCGGTGCTGTGATTTTTAACGCTGTTTAAAACACTCTTCAGTGCATTATAAAGCGAATCAGTAATATCAAGACAAGCTTCCATGGGCTCTGGACCCTGACTGCCTTTGGCGACACCCCTCGTTCTCGTTTGCGCGTAATTTTTCCACCCAGTCTCGCGAATTCCTGGAATAGATTCAACAGGAATGCCTCGAACGCCTTCCTTGAAGCATGACAACCCTGGATGAACCTTTTGAATTTCTTGCTGCCGCTGTTGAATCAATTTTTTCACAATTTCCTTCTGCTTTCTAATAACAGCCGTGAATTCAGTGTAAACTATTTTTGCATTCAGCTCGCAGTGCATCAAAGTTGCCCCCTCATAATCTTTTATGTACCCCTGGTACATAGCTCGGGGTAATTTAATGTCTTTGCTGAAGCCTTGTTTCTTGAAGTAACCGATGGCGAACTCATCAGCGAACGTCAAAAAATGTAGAATATTATTTTTTATATGATAGTCTTTTAACATATTCATCAAATGTGTCCCGTATCCTTTAACTTGTTCTTGACTCGTAACAGCGCAGAAAACAATTTCGGTGAACCCTTGAGTTGCAAACATCCGAAAGCAGATACCACCGATTGGTCTGCCATCTTTAATTAACGCTAGAGTTTTATGTTTCGGATCAAAAACTAACTGCGAGATGTATTCTTTGGGCATCCGAGGTAATTGATGACTGAAAACATTGTGAAGACCTATCAACCAGAGCATGGTCTGCTTGGACACCGGCTGACTCAAACTGTTGCCAATTACATGAAACTCTATTATTTTCTTCGCTTCTTCCAGCTTGGCAGTCTCGTCTCTTGGTACATTTGGCGGGAAAACGGCATCGGGACCACACATGTAATTTGGATCATTAATCGTGTCCAAAACAACAGCGACAGTCTCCTCAGGCAAGTCCTCAAAGGCTTCTTCAGTTCGTTTCTTCTTACTCTCAGACCTTCCTTCAGTATGAGGTCGCTTATCTCCGGCTCGCTTAACTCCTGGACTGATATTTATTGTCGTGTAATTGTCTTTATCATTGGGAGTAAGTGTTACCTTTTCAAATTCACCCGTACGACGTCCAGCGTTGGTTTTTGCGTCTAGTGATAAATGGAGATGATAAGGCGGTACTTGCTTGAATTCCGGATCCCAAATAGGTGAAGTGTTTGAGAAAATTTCACCCTCGAGCATTGATAAGAACTTTGGAAAATGGGTCAGTACAAGAACTCGCTTGTCAGGTGACATTTTATCTCGCTCGCTGTGACATTTGTCCATAAGTTGTCGGCAAACAGATTTAAATACCGCTTGTAACATTGTTTTTCCAAATACTAACGTAGTGTCGTAATGCGGCAGCGAATCACAAAATGCTGGAACATGACAATAAACGAGCCACCGCGTGTAATTTATTTTATAAGGCGTCGGATCTTCCAGGTTAGCAGATATTCTTCTAGCGCTTGGTGTCTCAAAGTTCCAATGGTTCAGACAGTGAAGAAACATTTTAGCTAAGTCATACATTGCTTGCCAATCATGCTGCGGCAAGTGGCTAAATTTATATAAAACAAAATTATTAATCGCCTTTGCGATACTCGGTCTTTCAAAAGGCGGTTGTCCGAGAGGCGCTTCAACGGCTGGTTTAGTCATTGCTAATATGTTTTTTCTTAATAATTTAAATAAATAATAATAAACTTTCTTAGTATCTGTATCTTCTTCGCGATGCATACCCATAAATATGTTATCGACGTCCACGACCATCCCTAGTAATCTGTTAATCTCTTCATCTGACTGTTTTGGTAAATGACTAATATGATTGTCTAGAGTATGATTGCAACATCGACATGGATCACTGAAATTGGGAACCTGCTGCTGGGCTTGCTGTTGAGGTTGTCCATCTTTCTGAGGCGATTTTACCAGTGGCAGGCTGTTTTTCCAGCCGTTACATTTACACTCTTCTACTTGACACGCGCTGTAGTTCGCCAATTTAATCAACTTCTTACTTTGAGGCCAGTTGAATACGTGTTGCTTGCGTTGCTGAATACGCTGGAGGTTATTTGAACGGCTGACTTGGTCTGGAGGACGTGGGGAGTTGACGTTGGAAGTAGCTGTACTTGTGTTTTGGCTTGTGCTACTGACTGACTGGCCAGCTTCTTCCGTAGGCACTGCTGCCGTTACTCTGTTAACTTCTTCCGATGACATGTTTCAATAAGTTGAAACTCGATTAAATAAATCTAGAATATGCAAATCTTTTGTCATTATTTTGTGTCATGTGTCAATGTGCGTAATGTAATGTTTATAAAATTGTGACTTTACCTGTACATACCAGGTGTTTAACCTCAATTGATCTTTCAATTATTTATTTACGGGGAGTAAAATTCAATACTTATAATGATTGTTTCTAAGTATGGATTTATTATAAGTAGTCAATATTGATAATAAATAACTAATACACTTCAATGAAAGGTTTATTGACAAATTCTTGTTAGAGTCTGAACACAGATATCTTTTTGCGCCAGTGTTTACGCTTGACAATGAGCTCATGCTCGTGTCGAGATTTTGTTATAATAATAATAATAATGATTTGGCAATGAAATTTAAATCCAAAGCCGCTAGATGGCAGCATAAGTATCTTTTTGCGCTTTATTTTTTTAGCAAGAAAGTAAATTTATATTTAAATACATTTATAAAATTAAATTAATTTGTATTTAATATAAAAATTGTGATTGTAATTTCGTTTTTCAAACAGAAACGTCTAAATAGTACAAAATTTATTATGAAAATAAAATATCTTTAGACTATTATGAAAATTAATTTAGCAAATAGGTATTTGATAATATTAAGAATTTTTTTAAACAAATAAATTATGGCAAAAAAAAGTAGAAAAAAAATTGACATACAGAAATTAAAAAAAATAAAAAATGCTATTTTTTAAAAATAATTTTTTGGAAAAAATTTTTGTTAAAAAAAACGAAAAAATGGTTAAGTGACTACTAACTTTTATATGGCAAAAAAAAATATAAAAAAAATTATGAAATTGAAGTTAGCCGACACTTGATAATTTTTTAATTTTATTTAACAAAAAAATTTGTTCCGAAAAATTATTTTTAAAAAATTGCATTTTTAATTTTTTTTCAATTTCTACATTCAATTTTTTTAATAATTTTTTTCGAGTCATAATTTATTTATTACAAAAATTTTAAAAATTATCAAATATCTGCTAAATTAATTTTCATAAAAAAATTGACATATAGAAATTTAAAAAAATTAAAAATGTAATTTTTTGGGATAAATTTTTTTGTTAAAAACTTTAATATAATGTCATCCAATTTAATGTGGAATGCACTATGTGTTTTTTAAAATTTTCCGCCTAAATGGCAGCCATTTTTATTTAGCTTGTTTCGGAGTGGGAGAAGTTTCAAAGAGGGATTATTGTGATTGTGATTGAAAAAGCATGCGTGAGAGACATTAATTTTACAAAGATCTATGTGTTATAAATAAATTTTTATTATAAATAGAATTGTGACTTAGAAAATTTTTTACGAATCAAAGTATGTATTTAAAAAAAATCCTAACATATTTTTATTTTGATTTTCCGACTCTAAAATCATTCCCACGTGTGTTGAAACATAACCTAAAAATTAAAAGTTTATTTACTTATTAAAACATTTTATAATTTAATTTTTAGATGACGTTAGAAGACTTTCCCAGAGGCGGTAAAAAACCGTTGTCTAGCAGTTCATCAAATTCTGTAAGTATTTTTTTTTTTTTACCAAAATACCTAATGTTTGTTTTATAATTTTTCTAATGATAATCTATTTCAGTTTCTAGGCAATAAAAGAAAACGATCTGCTAAGTTTAACCAGAGTAAAACAATCAAGGATGCACAAAAAGGTGAGCAGGATTTTGGACCCTCCAGTGCAGAATGTCTGACATACCCAACCATAGTTGAAGGAATGGTTATTCTGGGCCGCGTTTATACGGCTACAGAGTACGATATAACAGTATCATTGCCAGGGCGTTTGAGTGGACAGGTTTTAGCAACTGATGTCAGTGAGGCTTACACAAGTCTGCTGGAAAAAGTTATCGAAATTACCGATAATCAACTCACCGAGTACAAACCTCTGAATGAAGTTTACAAGAACGGTGATTATGTTGTATGTGTTGTCAAAAGTATCAATCCAGATGAGAAAAATGCTGTGAAATTGTCATTGGAACCAGGGCTTATCAATCAAAGTCTTCATCCTGAAAGTTTAAAAAGTGGATGTAAGATTGCTTGTTCCATAAGCAGTGTCGAAGATCATGGGTACGTTATTGATACTGGAATTAAAACTCTCCGAGGATTTTTGGCTAATAAAGATGTTGCGGAAAATGCTAAATACCGTAAGTTTGTTATTTTTTAATACGATTATTTTACAAGTTATTTATTTATTTATTTAAATAAATATTTAATGTTCCAGATCATGGTCAGCAAATATTTTGTTCTATAAAAAAAGTTAAAACGGATGAGAATATAGTCACACTAAATCTTACCACAAAATCTAAACGTATCACTTCATCAGTTAGTGTCGATAGTCTTCAATTAGATTCACTTGTTCCTGGATCGCGTATTGATTTGACTGTGAAGAAAATTTTACGTAATGGTCTTCGAGTTTCATTCAACGAAAACAATACTGGTTATATAAATCAATTGTATCTTAACGAGCCACTCTCATCTTATGAACCTGACACTGAAATTACCGCGACTCTTTTGTATGTAATTCCTACAGTTAAGTTTGCGTATTTCACAGAATTTTCATTTGAAAAAGAAAAGCAGCCAATTCAAGTTGGAGAAATAATTAACAAAGCGTCTGTATTGTATCGAGATGCTAAAGGAATTATTTTTAAATTGAAAGAAGGAGTGAAAGGTTTCGTGTCTTTTAAACGGACTGAGGTAAACTTTGAAAATATAAATGCTAAATTTCCGCCTGAGTCTATTCACAAATGTCGAGTTTTGTCTTATGACCTTTCTGACAGACTTTATATTTGTACAATGCAAAAAAATTTGTTAAAAGCGAATAGTTGTATCGCAGATACAGTTGAACCAGGAGAGATATTAACTGTTGAAATAGTCAGGTTCAATAAAAATGGGTTCATTTTTGTTAAATCTGGCAACACATTTGGAGATGTTGCTCCAATGCACATCGCCGATCCGGGAATTGACTTGAAGAAAAAACAACAGCTATTGAAAGTCGGCGCAAGGGTATCAGCGAGAGTTTTAGGCAGGAATAAACAAGGCAACGGCTGGATGTTAACTCTAAAAAAATCATTAGTCGAAAGCAAACGCCCTATTCTGTCGAATGTTGAAGATGCAAGTGTTGGTTCTATATATCAAGGAACTATTTTTTCTGTTAAAAAAGAGGGATTATTGATATCATTTTTCGGTGAGGTTAAAGGATTTTTACCAAGTAAATTTTTGAACAAAACTACTGGTGGTACTTTAAATTACAGTGTTGGACAAGTTATTCTTGTTAAGATAGAGAAAGTCAACGAAGGCGGTAAATTGATTCTTAATCTTGCGCACAATAAATCCAATCTGAAGGAAGAAATAAAATTGAACATTGGTGAAGAAGTCACTGGAGTTATCGTTGAATCATCGTCTGAAGGGATTTATTTGAAGATAAGCAAAGGTAACAAGGGTGATAGTGTCACAGGGTTCTTACCAGCTGGTCATATTGCGCCTTGTAAAGAATTGGGAGCCCATTTGGCGGCAAAGTATGTTCCCGGAGATTTATTGACAGCACTTGTATTCTCTACATCGCCTAAATTTTTGCTTTCACGAACTTATGTTCCTCAGAAAGAGCTTACAAAAATGGAAAATCTAAAAAAAGATGATTATATTCCTTGCTCAATCACAGACATCAGCTCAAAAGGTGTAAAAGTTGTTCTACCTATTGAAGGATTTGATGAGTACGGTTTTATTCCTTACAATAAAATATCAGACATCGAAAGCTTGTCAGTACATCAATTACTGTTTGGAAAAGTAACTTTCATCAACAAAAAAGAAAAAAAAATTCATCTTACAGCAGCTTTGCACGAAGTTTGGACTGACGCTGTCAAACAAGACACTGATATGGTAGGTGCTGTCGATGTCTTGACTTTGTATCTTAGTAAATTAAAAGAAATGGCAACGCATGAGAATTTCACTAATAAATCAATCTCAGCGATGAATTTGGGGCAGCATGTAAAGGGAGTGGTTGAAAAAGTAACAGAACATGGACTTGTTCTGAAGCTGGAAAATGATGTTGCTGCAACTGTTCGCTCGTGTCACATTGAAAAGCCACACAAAGAAGGTGATCAAGTTGAAGCAACCGTTTTGTGGATCAATTATATTCATGAATTGGTTGAAGTTACGCTTTTGCCGAAGCTGAATAATTCAATAAGAAACCAAGTCAATAAACTACCCGACGATTCAATTAACGTACAGTTGAAAGGTGAAATAGTCTTGGTAACTAATTGGTTTGCTCTAGTTCTGTTAAAGGGTCAAGGAAAGGGTACTTTAGTTTCATTACCTACTCGTCGGCACGCTAATGACATGAAACCTGATCTTTCGTCGTATTCAGTTGGTAAAAAAATAAGATGCTATGTTATACTTAACCGCGGTGAGGCTGAATTAACTCCTGTTGCTGTTGTTAAATCGTCATTTGAGTCACGGAAACATATGATTGAATTGCAGAATAGCAAAGATTTGAAGAGGAAAAATCCAAGTTACATTCATAGTGAGCATTTACTTTCAAAGAGACCAAAACTTTTGACAAAAATCATAAACTGTGATGAAGTTAAAGATGAAGTTGAAGTCAAGAACGAAGAAGAGTCTGATGATGAAGTTAATGAAGTCCAAGTGGTAAAAGAAAAGAAAAATAATGATCAGGCTAAGAAAAACAAAAAAGAAAAGGTTAAACAACTTGAAGTTAAAAATAAAAAAATAAGTCCTCAAGTTGAAGCTAAAAACAAAAAAATAAGTCCCCAAGTTGAAGGAGAAAATAAAATTGCAGATAGTCTCAGTATACCAGAGTGTGGGTTCAACTGGGATGGAACATTAAACCAAGTTAAGATTGAAGAGTCATCGAGTAGCAGTGAAGAAGAGGAAGATAACGAGCCGAAAAAAAAGAAGAAAAAATTGACTGCAGCGGAAAGGCATGAATTGGAGCGGCAAAAAGAACGTGAAATACGTCAACGAGAAGAAGCATTAGCCAGCAATCAAATGCCGAATTCTCCAGATCAATTTGATCGTTTAGTACTAGCAAGCCCTGACAGTTCAGTAATTTGGCTTCAGTACATGGCTTATCATCTCCAAGCTACTGAGATTGACAAGGCCCGAGCAATCGCAAAACGCGCTCTCAAAACGATTAACTTGCGGGAAGAACACGAAAAATTAAACGTTTGGCAAGGTTGGTTGAACTTGGAGTCAAGATTTGGAACACCTGACACCCTTGACAGCGTTTTCCATGAAGCATTAAAACTTAATGACGCTAAGAAAATTTATCTTCATATGATTACTGCTCATACTGACGCTGGAAGACATTTGAAATTGGAAGAATTCGTTAAAGTAGTTACTGGCAAATTTAAGCAAGATCCAGAAGTTTGGACAGAGTGCGGTGGTGCTTATCTTAAAGCAGGGTTGAAGGAAAAATCAAGATTCCTTATGCAACGAGCGCTTCAGTCCTTACAACCCAAAGAACGTGAGTATTTTTTTATTTGCTATTATTATATTTTAATTTACAATGATTTTTATAAATTTATTTTGTCATTTCAGATGTAAACTTGATAATGAAATTCGCTCAAATGGAGAACAGATTTGGCGATGCAGAAAGAGCCGAGACATTATTTGAGAAACTTTTGACCTCATATGCAAACAAAGTAATTGTTTGGACGTGTTACGTAGACATGTTGGTTAAATCTGAAAAGTTTGACACAGCAAGGTATGATTTGATATAAAACTTTTAATTAAATTTATTTATAGTTTAATTATTTGTTATTAATAATATTTATATTTACTTAATTATAGGAAAGTGTTGGAGAAGGCCGTACTTCAATCTCTTCCTCCCAAGAAAATGAAGACATTGTTTGAAAAATACGTCAGCTTTGAAGAGAAATACGGTACCCCAGCAGGGGTAGAACATGCTACTAAATTAGCAAAGGAATACTTAGATAAAATCATAAAAGGATAAACATATTATTATGTTAATTATTGTAAAATAAATATTTTTTTTTTAATATTTAATTAAACAATTGTAAAAAAAAATTTAAATTATCCCGCTAATTTTAGCGCAAGCGTAATCATTATATTGTCAAAATGGCCGCGAGTTTGCGCTAGAGAATTCTCAAAGTTCCGCGGTCGGTCAAGGTAGTTTATATGTCTTTTTCTTGTCATTATCATTATTATTTAATTTTTTATTACTTCCACACATAGACATATGCGAGTACGTGGTTGTGATTTAAACAGTGTAGTATTGGAGGATCACGAAAAGCGTGATAATCAGCGAAAAAATCAGTAACCTTGTGGAATAGTTGTAATAGTCGCCATATTGTTTGTACGCACGTTGCTGGCTGACTATCGTCAGTAGTAAAGTTATCTTTATTGTGTCGTGTCGCAACGTAACGAAAAAGAACGACAAGACGAGGGAGCGCCGTGGAGAAAGGTAAATATTTCTTGAGTGAGGGTTCGAGAATTTATTTTTATATATTTACTATTTACATATATAGTAAACTGATATAGTCACCATTGCTGTCCAAGTGCTCTACACTTATATATGTGGGTACGTTTAATTTTTAATTGTATCTGTGGTTTTATTTAATAAATCAATCAACTTGATAATTAATACGGTAATTTTTCAGGATCAGTTATCATCCATTTTTGTGAAGTTAGTTCTTGAAAAATTATATTTTCTATAATTTTAATCCCAGTGTAGTTCGCGTGTGAATAAGACAGGAAGAGCAAAACGAGAAGGTTCTCAAGGCATCTTGTTACATTTATATCTATATATATATATATATATAATATAGAATAGATATGCACATATATATATATATATATATGGAGAAAGATCGAGAGAGAAAAGAGTGAGTGAGTGAGAGGGAGAGAGTTGTATTTAGTTTTCGTATGTATGAGTTTCATGAGTCAACTTAAAATTTACGTGTTGGAAAAAAAATCGATATTTTATCGATCTGAGTTTAGTTCTACCAGAGAATAAGTAGGTGATACATGTGTACTGCATCACACTAGAGCTTCCTTCTGGTTTTTTATTAAAAAACATAAACGCATTTGTAGGTACTTATATGTCTATACATTGAAACAAACGAAAAAGGAAAAAACTATATATATTACAGTATGTATTATAAAACTCGGTAATGTGCCGTCACTGCTAAGGGCTTTGGAATGTACTGCTGATAATTGAAGCGATTAGTTAATCTGATTTGTGGATTGAGTTTAATTGATGTGTGAGAATTTTTAAAATTCATTAGCTAATGTGACGTGGAAGATATCGGATGTCGTCTGTGCGTGAGTGAGTAAATTAGAAAGTACGTGTGTGGATTGAAGAGAGAAAAAAAAAAAGAAAACTAAAGTTAACGTTCGTCGTCGTCTTCTTCGTGGATTATAAGTTCCGTGAGTATTTTCATCTCACATGAGACTTATCACGCGCTTTCATTGATGTGGGCGTATAGGTTATAGTCACAGCCAGATTTCATTAGTTAATCATATTTCTATGAAATTGTACCTAACTACTGTTTTTTTTTTTTTTTATTTTTTTAAATCATTAACATTAAAATTAGGATTTAATTTCGTGAGTAATGTATATAACATCACCTGTCTTGAGCTTATCTGTGTGGGATAATCATAAATCTCTCGCGTGCGTCAAAAGGATTAAATTTTAATCTCACATATAAATTGAAGATGATTATATACGTGTACATTATTTATGTAGTAATTTTATTATTATATTTTAATTTAATTTAACATGTACTTAATGTAATTATTGTCTTTTATTATATGGGTAGAAAAAGATAAACAATCACAGTTAAATGAAAATGAGCACAAAAAAGCCAATTTCCGAGTTCTAATGACGAGTAATTGTAGCCGAGAAAAAGCCAGAAAGCATTTGGAGTCTAAGACAACAAAAATAAATTTAAGTGGATGGTGAACATTCATTGCATTTATCATCATCATCATCATCATCATCATCATCATCATCATCATCGTCGTCGTCATACTTATGTGAATCTCATCAAGTGCATTTCAAAGTTTTCTTTTACTCCTAACCGTGAGATTCCGTCAGACTGAGACACACTGACATTTTATTCAATTCTACATTCTACACTGTACTCTTACTTTTTTTCTGCTTACCCAGTTTACTTACACTGGCACAACACCCACGTGTATGTACGCGGTATCGATTAGTTTTAATCCTCCAGGGGAGTCTGCCGAAAGAGGACAGCTTTATAAAGCACTTTATAATGATACAAAACGAAAAAAAATGTATTTATTTGACATTCAAACGAAGACCATTATAATTAATCCAATTAAACACTCGAACCTCCGAGTAATAATTTATTATAATAGAAATAGAATTAAATTTAGTTACGAATAACGATAATGGACTAGCGAACCGCAGGAAACTGTTAAAATAACGTTGCATAAAAGTTTAATCTCATCATAGTATCATCTATTCACCAACGAGAATTAGACTTACCCTCGATGATGTAACTCTCGCGTGTGTCTGTCGATTTAATTTGTTATATATAATATTAGAGTATTAGAGAGTTGAATAACGTCTTTGGCATTCGATCATACTCTCTACCTCAATTTTAATCTTATTTTCATCCCGATATTATATTAATTATGCATCTAATAAATTATAAACAAATATTTACCCAAAAATTTCATATTTCGTTACAATTGACAGCTTCGGCTTATTTAATGTTATTATTTGTTGTTAATTTATTAAAATGTGTACTATAAATTACTAATGAATAATAATTACAATGAACCTAAATAATATTTTCCTGACTGCGTATTATCGTGTCTTATAAATAGGTATGGGGTGTATTTTGTTGATGTATGATAAATATACATGCCGCTAGTGGTGATGATGATGATGACGATGAAGAGAAGAGTGTATTGAGGGATTTGGAAAGTCGCCACCAACTGAAGAAAAGTCTTGTTGTATACCAGCAAGTGTGTTCAGGCATTTATGTATACGTACATACATATTTGCCACATTTAAATGCATCTTCTTTCTAAATTCACTGTTCCGTAGCACAGTATGTAAAAGTGGATTTAAATTTGTAACTTATTTCTCATGCGCTTAAATGCCACAAATTTAACGTCGCAAAATTTAAAATCTTTGAATTTACGTGATAGTATTCTTTATTTAATTATAGGTATTGGTAAATTATTAGCATTTTATCAAGTGCGTATATGTAATATACAATATATCTATATAGATCTTAACAATAAGTTGTTTATTTGTTTGATTCGTTAAAGGAACTCGTTTGACCTTCACAATGGCCTTTTGGAGACTATCATGTTACAAATAAATGTTATTCTAAATGATTAAATGTTTCTTAACATATTTTAGCATCATTAAATAATAACAATAAGAGACTCGATAATGTATTAATGAATGAATGAATGAATAAATAACAATACCAAATATATATGTATATATACGACAATATCATTTTTATAAATATACATATTGATTGTTACAATAATACATTACGTCAAGACACGTCCTTGTAAGTCTTGTCTTCTCTTCAAATACAATATTATATTTCAATTAAAAGATAATTATTCAAATAGATTATCCGCTTTAGGGAATTTTTTTTGTATTAATTTTTTGTATTTACATTTTACCGCACAAATAATATTCTTATACATTATTGCGTGTGCTGTGTGTAGATCGCAGAACAACAGAAAGAAAAAAAAAATATACAGTGTGTATGTTTACTGTAGTGGTGCTATTTTTAAAAATAATTTCAGTCAGAGGTGTTAACTAGGTCAACTACCAACGGAATTTATACATAACGATCCCGACTAATGTATGGTAGTTTTGAATTCGCTAATATAACCAGTTTAGGAACTTTTAATCAACGCATAAGACTATTATGGCATCTATTCAAGCGAATTAATTTTTTAAAGGCCTTGTTATACATCCTTGCGATGAATCACATCATCACTGACTGTGGAATGACTTTTTTTTTTTATAATAGATAATAATAGTTGTTTGATTTATCCCTAAAATAAAATTGAAATTTATTAACAAATATCTTATTATTTCAGAGACTGAAAGTGGAAGGCAGCGTGTAGGAAATTACACGTGTTACGAGTGCAATGTCAATCCATCGCGGCGGACCTCCAGGTGCCGTCGCAGTAACATACAATTCAATGGCGCCATTATCACCAACGCGAAGGTACAGTAGCAGTAGTACCGGACCAACAACCTCCAGCGGAACAACAACCACTAAATTCAATAGTTGTAGATCATCAAAGGCACTTGAACACATGAGTTACAGTGCGGCAGCAACATCTACCACTTGTTTATCTGGGGCTAGAAAAAATTATTATTCCCCTGCAAGGTTTGTTGTGTCAATAAATAATAACACAACACAACAACAACAGCAACAACAATAACATTAACAATAATAATATTAATAATTATTGTTTAGACATTTAAATAATATTTTATAACAAATAACGCTGTCAGTAGGTGACAGGATCTTTGTAATAATTTATATTTATGACACATTAATTTGTCTTACTGTAGGCATATCCGGGTTGTTGTTAATACGGTTATTCAAGCTTTGTTTCAACGTTGTATACCATGAACAAGGGTGACGAGGTTTCTTCCTTGGGGGGGTAATTGCCACGATGAGGAGCTAAAAGAGAGGAAGTGGTGGTAGTGGGGGTGGTAATAGTACTAGTACTAGCTGTGGCGGTGGTGGCGAATTTGTGGAGGTGGTTGTCGTAAAATAGAGAATAGAATGAGAAAAGCAGACGCATGCGTTTTAAACTGAGGAACAATACATTGACAAAAGCTCGAACGTGTTTTCTTTTGGTCTGCAGGTATAACAAAGATCCAATTAAAAGCCTTTACTGAGTTCACGCCTAAATTGTATAGGGTCACTTTTGTTTTCTCAATAGTGGATATAATATATATTCTTCTCATAGTACTGGTACTCATACTGGTTTCTGGTATTATTCTGGTGGTAATAGTAGTATTAGTAGTTTAGTAGATGCTTTTACTAAAGGACGTATAATATAATATAATCCAAGAGGTCTAGGTCACACTTTCTTTAGGTATGCGCGTTTGACACGGTCAATCGTATTGAATTTATAGAAACAAGTTCAACGGGATTTTGGGGTGATCCTTGGTCGAGATACAAGACCGCGAACCTGTTCAACGAGTATCAACACAACAGTATTAGCCGATTAGCGACCGACTGTCTGGTATAAACCCTCGTGTCGTGTCGTTATTTCAGCAGTCCTGGTCTACACCCAGCTACATACTGCTTTTTATTTGCTCTTGTCTTGGTTGGACTGATGCTCTACTTTTATCGAATATATACATAACATATATGTACAGCCAAAAGTTTAAGATCAGGGGTCGCTAAAGTTCTCTTTTTATATGTGTATAATGTTGAATTTCGGATTGTAGTTACAATGGAGAACGGAAGGAAGAATGAGATAAAAAGAGCTGAAGAAAAGGAGAGTTTATAAGAGAGCAGAGAGCAGGGGTCACGACCGCGCCACTCGTGACTCCCAAAATGATGACGATTTAGCATCTGCCGGATTTTTGCTCTCGGGGGTACTTTCAACCCCTCAGGAGAAGTCTACGAGGGAAGAATAATGATCGTGTCAAAGGACACCCGAGTACCGTGGCACAAATTGTTTACAGTACTTGTCTTTTTTCTTCCTCCCTCCACCTTCGGCGATAGCCTCTCCATTTCACTTAAAAACAAGTCGATGCTAATATTAGTCCAGACAAAAATAAACTTGATACCAAAGATAATATAACATAACTATAACTTTGATTTTTTTTATTATAGTTTATTGTCATTTTTTTATCTATAAACTATTTATCTTCTTTGTAGTTCTTGTAGTTTATTTCATTTTACTTTGTTATATAATTCATAGGGAAGAAATATTATGTGTTAAAGTTATTTTTTTCACATATTATCGAATAAATATTACTCAGCATTTTTTGTTGTAAGACATTCGTTTTAAAACTTTTATTTCTCGAGTTTTACCGATAGCTTGCTGAATCTGTGATTTTATGGCTAAAATATTTTCTACGCCACTGTAATATTTATTTTTTGTTCGATAATATACAATGAAGATTGTAGGAGGTGATTGATTGTGTCTGTACAATGTAGTGGGTGGCATTTTAACATTTTCAATGTATTATCAGTATACATGTGAAAGTGAATTTACTGAAGTATAAAAAAAAAAAAAAAAAAAAAAAAAAAAAAAATTCTTTTGTGTAGACTAAAATCTTGGTAATAGGTTAAACGATCAAAACAAGTATTAAGATAATACTTGAAACGTCGTTTAGGATTATGGGTATGCATATAATAATAAATAGAAAGGCATAAAAAGCGATTGAATAATAATCGTTAGGCAAATTACTGACGTTGCATTATAATCAGCTTCTGTACATAACGGTTAGATAGCGGAAAATTTAGTTTTATAATACAGATGATAAGAGCTAACTACAGAAATAATATAACATACTATAATATAATATAATACAATACGAATAAAATTAAATGCAAGAGTCATTGAAATAGCATAAGCCAAAAAAATAACAAGCCCTTGGCTTAAAGCCCACCTTAGCAAGCAAATTTTCAACATATAAACTTGTCCCGCATTCTAACATTAAAATCTTTTTACAGGTCAGTCTCGTCGTACAGTGAAGCCGGATCGGTCTCATCGGCAGCCAGCAAGTTGTCGCCAAAGTTTTCATCTACATCAACGTCTTCAGCATCCTCAACAGCCTCATCGGTCTCGTCTTCAAACAATCGTGATCGTTACAACAATTTATCAGCGTCGAATAATTTAACCGATAGTGAATTTCGATCAAAATACTCACCTGACAACTACATACCGACGATATACCGAAGCAACGGGAGCAACAGCAGCCTCAGTAGTAACAGCAGTACGTTAAATGGTCACTGCAAGTCATTTCCAACATCCTCATCAACGAGTGGCCTAGCAGAGCTTCACGGTGGTGATGAACGGGACTCAATTGGTTACCGTGAGCAACGTGACCGTTCATACTCAAACGAAACAACAAATTCACTAATCGGTGGGGACAGGTGGGCTGTCAATAATCGACACACTAAAAGAAGAAATAATCCAACAAACACCCTGTTGACCGGGCATGATCAAATCGACAGCGCTGCGGCGCCAACCGAGGTAACGCACCATCAGACATCATCATCATCATCATCTTTGGAACAAGATCACGATAGCAATATTATTCCGGATATCGCGAGAAATAATATCCTTCACCACGGGAATAATGTCAATAATAAAACGGCTATTGCTGTTGTTGACAATGACAACAACAACGCCAACAATAACAATGACCATGACCGTCAACAACAATACAGTGACGATCAGCATCATCGTAGTATTATTAATAATCACAATGACCGCGACTATGACGATAATTATTTAAACCATCACGGTCATCCGACGTTGGCTGGCTATACGCAAAGATCATATTCTTCAGTAACAGCAGCAACAACACCTGCTGTTACTACAACAACGACAACAATAACAACAACAAACACTGCTACAACTCTTTTACTCTCGTCATCTCCTTCCTCGTCATCCTTATCATCATCCACTACCTCCCATCAATTAACAAGCCCTGTAGACTCTCCTGCTTCCGAATCGTACAATTCCACGACAACTACACCGTTAGCTACGCCAATAGCTTCAATAGCTAGTGTTACTGATAATTATACTTTTTACAATACTTTGTCGTCGACGTCAGCCACGTCTGGTGATGGTGGTGGTAGTGCTGCACCCGCTGATAATAGAGCTTGCTCGTGGACTAAAAAAACACCGCCCACTAATCCCGATAACAGTACGGAGCTGGTGACTAACAATAATGATCAGGAAAATTCAAATTCCCGTAACAATCCTGTTTTAAAAGAACCGACTACTACCGGAGCAGTCTTCACTGTTGGAGATCCTATGTTAGGGAGCTTGCATTCTTCTATACTTAGTACGCATTTGTATAGTGTTGAAAGTAGTAATTCATCAACAAATTGGATGTCTAATGATAATAATGATTATCAACAACAGCAACGCCTAACAAGTAAGAGAGATGTCACAAATAACTCTGATGATGGGTTCGATGGAATACGCTTGGAATTAAATGAATATACTGATGATTCTCCATTAGATAATAATAAATATTTAGAAAACGTTAAGACAAATAGTATAATTGAAAAACCTCAAGATAATAATCCAACCAGACCAGCGTACAGTCAAGTCGCCAGTGGCTTTTGTAAAGTACCAGTAGACCTTAATACCAAGGTGACATCCAGACCTCTAGGTACTCTTAACGATGATTCTGGGAAAGCATCCAACTCAAAAACACCCTTTGACTGGCAAAAGGAGGAAACTCTCGCTGATGGCGCACGGTTTAATCCATCATCCTCCTCAGCAGGGAGCAGCACTTTGAATCCACCAGTTGGTGTTCATCAGGGCGTTTCTCGTGGAATCAACGACCAGATTGTGAGTAGTTAACAACGTATCGACTTGTTCGCGTTCAACGGAATGTCGATGAACCGGGACAACGAGTTGACTTGACCTCGGCCGACTTTCATCTCTTATTCTTATTATTTATTTATTATTATTATTATTAATTACTTTTATTTTTTTTTTTTTTTACATTAGTTTCTTATCTCTCTCAGTTTATTTGGTTCTTTATATTTATATTACTTCTTTTTTATTTAGTACGTCCTCTCAATAACCACGTGCTGCAGACAATACACGACTGCAACGAGACGTATAATACATACTCTCGTGTTCTACTTCCTCCCGCGCGCCAATTACTGATTTTGGCAACTTGAGTTGCGCTTGAGCAATCCCAGGGTGAGGTACTATCGGGTACTCGGTTTGAATAATCGTCCAACTACAACCAAGACTTGACAACAACCTAGAGCTTTTTTCTTCATTATTATTATTATTGTTGTTGTTAGTTATTATTACTATTATTATTGTCATCAGTGTGTGAAGAAACTGAAAAAAAGAGCACGAGTACTAAGAAAAATAATTATTATGATTGCGGCTGTTGGTGCTGCTACATCGTACTTGGTCAGTGGCACGTGGATTATTGAGAGTTTGCTAATTATTATTATTATTATTATTACTATTAATTTTATTTTGTGTGACAAAAATAATAATAATAATAATAATAATAATAATAATGGAAGTGGTTTATTTAGCAATAGTATATTTTATTTTTTTAATAATAATAATAGTTAAACTCGTTAACGGTACATCGACAATTAGTTATTATTGATAATCATCTAAATATTCTTAGACGGCACTACTCGTGTACTACCAATATCGACGTCTCATTGTCAATAATTGTGAGTATCTGCCATTAAGTGAATTAAAAAAAAAAAAATTTAAGAGATAAAATAATTTTTAAAAAATATTTAATGAAATTAAATTATATATATTTATCTTTAACGAGCAACAATCTCAAAAGCTAGTCGCGTTTCGAAATCACTCTAGTCTTCTCGTCGTCACCAGCAACCACGACGACGAAGAAGACTAACTCCGTTCGCTCTAGTGCCACCCATCGGGTTTCGTTATTAATAGAATCCGACAACCGCTCTCCCTGGTTCCCAAACAAGTGCAACTACACCGGTTACAAAAGTTACATGTGCGATATACATATTTTTATTTTTATTATAATTATTAATTATATTGCTATAGTTAAATTTTTACGCAATCTAAAAATAATTAATTATATATAGATTAAAAAATAAAATTACGAAAACTAGAAGGTAGTTTTATTTAGATTTTTGTAAAATAGTTTTATAAGTTTAGAAATATTAAAAATCTAGCACTTCGCCGTGTAACGATTGTTAAACCGGGACACAACACAATAAAGTATACAAATTAAAATAACGCGTATTATTTAAATGTAAACTGGCTCTCGTTCAAGTAATAAACTGGTGTCTTTGGTCCATTTGGACTTTAGCGGTTCTTGGAATTATATTTGCTTTTTTCATCGGACTTACGACACCCTTAAAGACTAAAAAGCCTCATGTCCCTGCTCTATATCGCTCGAGACTCACTTGTTCATTAGTCTCTCACGTCGTTCGTGAAAGGCCAATAGTAGCTCGGGTCAAGGTGAGTACGTGATGCTTCAAATTTGTCCTTAAAAATTTATTTAAACAAAAAAAAAATAAACCTTTTTATTTTATTTTTTTATTATTAATATTAATTTGTTATTAGTTTTTTATTAATGCTCTTTTTTTGTTAAATAATTTATTTCGTTGTTGTATTAATTTTTTTTTTAATTAAGTGTTGAGGCTTGTTTGTGACTTTTAACATTTGCCGACTAATAATTAGCTAATAACCGAAAACGAAATTACGGAAAAAGATACGATAATGTTTACTTTTTTTTTTTTTCTAAAATTTTTTTTTTACTCACCGGAAGAAACTGACCAACGACTCGCAAATCACAATTCATTTATACTCACTCATAAAAAAGACTCGTACGGATTCACGTGTAACAGGAAATTACACCATAAAGTTGTGCCAAATTGAATTATTGTCGATATATTACAGGAGGAGAGTTCGAGCTCAAGGCCACCAAGGAGTAGTCGAATACCAACACGACGAGACGAGAATTATGGCCTCAATGGATTGAGAAATATTGGAAATACAGTAAGTTCAAAATTTATTGTTACGATCAGTACATTAATTAAATCAATAAAATAATAACAATAATAATGATGATTAAAATTAATTAAATGAAATATTATCCACAGTGTTTTATGAATAGCGTGATCCAATGTCTCAGCAACACGAAGCCATTACTTGAGTACCTGTTAAATGAACAGTACTTGAATGATATTAATCAAACGACATCCAGCATGAAAGGTGCCTTGATAAAAGCTTTCGCTCAAGTTATTAATGAACTTTGGGAGAGCAGTGGTGATCATGTAGTTAATACTTCATCATTAAAAAATCAAATCCAAAGATTTGCTCCAAGATTCATGGGTTACGCCCAACAGGATGCTCAAGAGTTCCTTAGATATCTGTTGGAAGGATTACACGAGGATGTCAACAGAGTTGCTGTTAAACCTCAACCTATTCTTGCAGACATACCTGATCACTTTACGTAAGTATTGTACATATTGTCAATTTATTGAATTAATAAAATAAAATAAAATAAAATAATAATATTTAATTTTTATTCATAGAGATAGCCAAAAAGCGACAGAAAGTTGGAAAAGATACCTACGTAGCGAAGACAGTACTATCGTCGATGTGTTTGTAGGACAACTTCGTTCATCTCTGCAGTGTACGTCCTGCGATCATATTTCAGTTACCCTAGATCCATTTTGGGATTTAAGTTTGCCAATACCTACACGAAGTGGTACAGTTAAACTTAATCAGTGTCTCGAGCACTTTACAAAGACAGAGATAATGGATGGTGATGAAAAACCCACGTGTTCCAAGTGCCAGATGAGAAGAAAGTGCACTAAACGATTTAGCATTCAAAAGTTTCCCAAAATCTTAGTAATTCGTATCCTTTTTATTGAATATTATTTTGCTATAATATTATTTTTTTTTTTTTTTTTTTTTTTAATTTAATTAATAATAATAAAAATTGTTTTCCTTAATGAAAATAATCTAATAGATTTGAAACGATTTTCACCAACGGAAAGATTCCGTTCGAAATTGAGCGTCCTGGTTGATTTTCCACTGATGGGGTTGGATCTCAGTGCCTTTGCCGCAACTGGCGTTCAAGGATGTACGTACAATCTTTACGGAGTAGCTAATCACTCGGGTACGCCGTACTCGGGTCATTACACAGCCTACTGTAAGCATCCTTACTCCGGTGAATGGCACGAGTACAACGACAGCAGAGTGTCATCAGTGTCAGCTAGCTCAGTAATTTCCAGTGAGGCGTACGTTCTCTTCTACGAGCAGCAGTCACAGTCACAGCAGCAACAGCAGCCTCTTAGTCATCATTTGTAACCACACGCCACACTTGTTAGTGTACAGTACCATCTTGCCTCGTGAGGATTTTATATAAATAAAAATGTAATACCTCAAGTCCAGTGTGTGACAAATTGACTCGACGCCTTGTTAGTCGGCAAGTGCAGCAACAACTAAATAATAATATAAAAGCAGCTCGACATCCGGAAGAAAATTAATGTCTAACACTAAGTGTCGGTGTAATGATAAAAAAAAAGATTTAAAAAGTATATATATAATGCGTTAATGATGTCGGTTTTAGGTATGATATTTATTAGCCAAAATAGGCGGGCAGCTGCATTTCTTTTTGATATATATTATTCATTTTGTTGCTTGCTTTTTATATTAATTTCTTCATTTATTAATTGACTGTCTTTGATTACTTATATTATAACTATTATATGGTTTTACTAAAATGAAAGTTTGACTATTTATACTAGGCTTTAAAAATTATAAATTTTTTCTCCTAGATTTCAATTTATTTATTTTTTAAAATTACTTGTTTATACTATACATATATATATACAAATATATTTCTCTCACAATCATTGTCTATTTAAAATATAAAATTTTAATAAATTTATGAAAATTACGTGTATAAAAATAACCCTTACGACTTAATAGTAGAAACAAATTGTAAAAAATGTATTCCCATTTAACGTCATGTAGGACAAATTGTAAAAAAAAAAAACAAAAATTTATAAGTAAATTTCACGTAAGCTTCGTATTTTTGAAACAAAAGTTTAATTATTTGTTCCGGATGTCTAGTTACTTTTTAAAATTAGAAGAAATAAATAAATAAAATAATAATATTTATCTTTCTCACTTGAAATCCAATAAGTAAATCCTAAAAATAAATAGAATTAAAAGATTAAGATCAACAATAAAAAGAACAAATCACCTGTTAAATCTACGGTTATATATTTACTTTTGTAAAATATTTTTGTTTTATTTCCAAGCAGTCAAGAGTTATTTATTTAATTTATGGAAAGAGAAAGAGAATATAAATAAACTATTGATATTCGATATTATCGAATATAATATTAAATATATAAATATATTACTATTATTATTGTCAACATTATTATTTTTAATTATTATTATTATTATTATTATTATTATTATTATAATTATTAAATATGCATGACAAAATACCAATAAAAGTAACAGACATTAATTAGTTAAATCTGTCCAATAAAATGATACACCAATAATAATAATTTATATCGTATCTTTTTTTTCTTTATAGACAAAATAATGAAAATCTTATCAGTTCGTGGACGTTTACGCGGTCAAATCAAATAATTTGTTAATTTATAAATTTTTTTCGAATATTAAAAATATTATGAAGAATATAATTTTAGGTAAATTATAGTTGGACTTTATTTTTAAATAAATTCAGCACTATTAATTTTACTAACTATATTAGATTTGCAAATTTCAAGTATATAATATTTTTAATATTTATTTGTTGTAGTATAGTTTTCTAATAATATTTCCATAAAATTTAAACACAAAAAGTTGATCGATAAAAAGCTATCGCTTGTTTACCAGAGTGTACATAAAAAATTATACCACTAATCCCCGATAATTTATCAAACGAATAAACCTACTGTAAAATTTTTAAAGATCACCAAGTAATTTTAGTCAACATTATGAAACTTATTTTTAGAATATTTTTTAACAATCAAATTTTTAAATGAAAATAAAAATTCATATCTAGAAATTTTTATAAACTACAAATTCAATTTTTCTAAAGAATTTTTTTTCACAATATTATTTTTTAAATAAAACCAAAAATTGGACATACGTTTATTGATTTTTGTATCATATCAACATCCCAAGCGTCACAAAAAAAAAACTATTGACTTTTTGATAGATTTCATTCAACAAAAAGTTAAAAAATTAATAATTGTCAATTTAAATTCAACAAAACATTAATAAAAAAAAATTTGTCCCGCTTGGGATTAGACAGTTATCATAAATATGACTAAAAAATTCAAATTTTTTAAATTTCTTCCCTTCTTTATAATTTTCAAATTTCTAATGTCTGCACCAATTTTTCTTAAGAAAAATCTCAATAAACGTCTATAATAATTAATTAATAAAAAACTATTATCTGAAAAACAAAAAGTAGGCTCGTGAATTGGCTAATACTTGAGACAAGTACATATTTGAATAGTGCAGACTAAGAACGAGAGCCAGTGTAGGCGAGTAAGGCGAGACAGAGATAAAGGTGTATGCGCGAGTCGCCAGAGCTTTACAATCCTCATCCTCCTCATCTTGATCTAACAGCGACGGTGGTGGTGGCGGCGGTCGTCGTCGTCAAGTCCCGGGTCAATTCGCGAACCGAGTCTCGCCGTTAGTTGTCCAGATGGCGGGATTGCGCATTTTTGCACATGAGTAAGAGACGACGCGCGATTATGTGTGCGTATTCTCTCTTAGTCGCGTGCAGTGTGTGCCTCCTCGCAGTAACATGCCATGTCGGCTCTTTATTCAAATAATCTCTCAATATAAGTACACATATATATATAAATACATCCATATATATTTAACTATACATATATATATACATCCAATAAATTAATAAAACAGTAAAACTTTAACTACAGACAGAGACAGTAGTCGAATTAATAGAAACTGACAGTTGTCTTCCCGTGAAGAATATTATAGACAAAAGTGAGGGTTTTAAAAAATATTTTCGTGAATAATCGATCGGGCTAAGTTGACAGCAAATCAACGTACAACGTTGTCTAGTTTGAGTTTTGCGAGTGTGTGTATATCAGCAGGAGCTTGGAGCTGCTACACAAACTCAATCCACACTAGCGTACTCAGCTCAGCAGACTCTTGTACGTATTATTTGAGAGTTAGAGTGATGGTGATGGTGATGTGATGGTGGATGCCAGTGTGTGGGTATTCTGAAAGACCCGAGAGCCGAGCAGAAGGAGATACATGGTGGGAGTCGCAAAACTACCGAGTAAGAGAGTAAGCGAGACACCGAAGAAAGAGGATTCAGCGCTGAGGTGAAGAGCGAGAGGACTTTTCTTGTATCCGCTGCTGTAGTAGTGGAGTAGTCATCGTCTTCGTCGTCGTCGTCGTCGTCGTCGTGTGCTTTGTGTCCAAGTGTTGTGCATTTATATCTACGTATATGTATTTTTTTATCAAAGGGTATACTATATCTATCTATCTATCTATATGTATTTATGTATTTATATGTATATACATATATATGTTCCAGTAGCAGCAGTAGAAGAATAAAGAGTAGTTGTTGTACTCCCGAGTTTAGAAAAAAAGAAGATATAAGACACGAGACACGAGCACGACCACGACCACGACGACGACGACGACGACGATAACAACGACAAGAGAATCAGTACCAAGTGTACTTGCTCAACTAAAAGTATACTCGCGATTTATAAATATTTATCTGGAAGTGCCGGTAATCCGAATTTATAAATATAAGTTTATTATTTTCTTCATCGTACAACCGATAATTATTTATTGAAAAATAAAAAAACTTATAGACTTTTTTTTTTTTTTTTCTACAGGAACCAAGGTGTCAAGTGGTGAAATATTAAAAGGATTTTGTATAAAATGAGACCGGGTGATTTAAAATCTGGACAGTTATTATTAAATAGATATATTGGAAGCTAAAGTGTGTATGGTATAAATTAACAACTAACTAAAACTGGTGTGTTATGTTCCATGTTACATTACATTAGTTGGGTCTATATTTTTGCGTGCGCTGTATAGTATTCTGTTTCTGTATACAGAGTTATACAGAGTAGACTAAAAGACGTGTGATGGTCGCTGTTGCTGAGCGAGACTCACTGGCCGGAAATATATAAGCCTTGAGAGCTAGAGTTTGCTCAGTACTCCAATATACAACTGAGTACAGTAGCCACCAGTATAATAGTGATTTAGTTTATTTTCTTTTTTCTTATTTTTTAAAATTTTTTTTCCTTTTTTTTTTTAACTCATGTTCTTTATTTTTTCAAAGCTTTGTATGAAATGAAAGATATTGTGCTGAGAATGAATAAGAGACATCTAAAGTTTAAGACTACACTTTTATATGTACATACATGCTTATATATTATTTATATATATACTTATATATGTATACATATATATTTATATAATATATATATATATATATACATATAAAATATATATGAAGGAGGTGAGGAGAGACTAGAGAGTAGTAGTGGATCGAGAGGGAGACTCAGTCGTGCGCGCGAGAGGGCAGTGATCTCTCGGGGAGCGGCGACCTGACACCAACGACCGATAGCTATAGGATACATCCATCTCGCTCTGTTGAACATCCCAGACTCCATCACGATCTTACACTTTTAAGCTCATCTGCAGATACTCGGACCATTCCAAGACCAAGAAGAAGACAACGTTATAGAGTACATTTCTTCTTTCTCAGATCATCACCATGGTGCATTTTATCGTGGTACACGATACTCATCGTCTTCTTGCCCAGTGGATCATTCAGCGCCATCATTTAATCGGATTACCAAGGTAAATTTCTATCTATATATTAATGATAATGATGATAATGACAGTTCTTTATTTCCTCTCGCCTATTTTTTGGTATTTCATGTGTCTGTTTTATATTTTATGGTAATAAGACGTGTGTGTACGTGCTATGTGTACGAAAAAAAAATAAATATATGTGTATAAAGTATAAAGAGTTAAAGAGAGAAACTGGCAACGACACGCGGTCGCTAAACTTTTTTTTATTATCTGTCCGCGAGAGCCTCGTGCTCATCAGAAATCGCATGGCATATCTTGACTTTTTTATTTTTCACTGGTAATAGAATTACAAATACTCTGTTTGCTTAACATTTATTTATTGATTTATTCATCATCAAATACTACGAGATTAATTTTTAAGCAAAAAATATTTTTCTACACATATATATTATTTCAAAATGTAAGAAATTATATTAATTATTTTTTTTTTCTTCTCTAGGTATGTTGCTAAATTTACAAGCTTAAAAAATTAATAATGAAATAATAATAATAATAATAATAACTATAACTACAATGACTACGTAACTTGAGCCTGTTGTCTGGGTTCAAGCCTTTAACGGTCAAGGTGTTATATACATAGTCCACCGTTCATTCATAAAATACCTACTTTGATGTACATTATTTTATCAATAATGTGCAACGAGCTGCCGGTATAGTATGCTACACTTACTGTCTGATGTGGAAAAAATAAAAACAACAGTATATTATATACAGTATGGGAAGAAGAAATAGTTGGAGAAGGAGCAGAAGGAGGGGCTGGGGCTGGAGAGAAAATAGTAATTATAAAATATGTTAAAGACAGCAAAAATGTTATTAACTATTATCGACAGCTACCATCAGCTTTGAAGCTAAGCGATCATACCTAACCGTGGCTAGGCTGAGCATATGATGCCGTGCCATGCCATAGGTTACAGCTCAACGCGTAAAGATAGTATGCTTGTATATATTATAAACGATCAAGGGTTCAACTTTACTATATACTATATACACTAATTCCTCTTCTCATGCGTGGGCTGTATGCGTGTATTCATTATAAATGTTATGATCTCTTCCGTTCCCTCGTGCTTCCAAGTTTACTGACCCGTTAGTTATTTCAACTCTGTCCGTCACACAGAATTATTTAATCAGCCAGACGTTTTTTTTTTGTATTTTATTTTTTTCTCTTTTACTCAGTTCTATGACCGGTTTTTACCTACTCGTACATATATAGTATATATAATAAAATATAATATAATACAATTTAATATAATGCTATATGTGTACACACATATGCTCTTATTTTATCTTCATTTTATTTATTCCGATGGGAAATGTTTTAAATATATCTACGCACGGTAACGTTTGGAGTGTACTCGGTCTCCATGTTGTTCCGGGAAGGATATTTTGAGTGTGAGATGAATAAAAAAAATTTAAGGCGGAGCGTGTTTTCACGGCCCGATCCCCGATCTCCAAGTGTGATGTCGGGCACAAAGGGCCATACCAGGTAAAATATTTTCCGAGTGCAATGTGTCCCAATATCCCCCACCAAAGGGAGTCTCCCGCGCGTCTATGCCCCTCGAAAAACGAGAAGGCGGAGCCAGTTGAGCCCTTGACATGACTTTCCAATAAAAAACATTCTTTTATGGTATCACAATACATTGTTTACCTCACTTTGTTTACTCTGACACGGTCATTTATGTTTTATTAGTTTAGTATTATCACGTTAAGATATTTTTGCTGCAATAAAATTTTTTATCTTTACTCCGTTTATTCCATACGTTGGTATAATTATATTGTGAAGGAAAATATACTGTTGTCACAAAAATTAGGGAGAAAAGAATACGTGAAAATTTTTTTTCTTATTGTGAGAAAAATTTTGACATATCAGCTATAATTTTTTCAATTTTAGATATTTTGACTCCAATTTTTTTGCATATAAATTATGAATACATTCATTAAGAAAACTACAACTCTAGGTTAATTTTTTTTTTAAATTAAATTTTATCTTATTAAAAATTTCTTTTCGAGTAACTTTAAAATCAACCTTTGACTCGATTACTAATCAATTGATTCTTTGAATTCTCATTATCATTAAAATTAAACTCAGAAATCTAATATTGACAAAACGCGAATTTTTCAAAATTTATTTTTTTAAGAAAAAATGATTTTTTCCACATATGACAGTATACTGATAAAAAAATTAATTTAATTCAAGTTAATAATTTTGAAGAATTCAATTACCTTGAATGAACTAAAAAAATTAAATCTTTTTGATTTAAGTAAATTTTACTTGATTCAAAATTTATTTTTACTCAACTCAAACTACTAAAATCCTTCAAAATTTTTTTCTGTTGAACCAAAGTAAAATTTTTTATCATAGTGTACAAACTTCATTCCATTCAAAATTCGGTTAATGTTTCTCAAATTTTTAAATAACATTAAAAAAAAATATTATTCACTCCACCTTAAACTTAAATAATTTATGTCCGATTTCTTAAAATTTTCTCTATTAATACATCATTTACCATCGCGCATTTCTTATTAGAATTAGATTCCAATTTAAAATCAATACCTTTTTGTCTAATATCCGTACTTTCTTCAACATCAGCAACAACCAACTTTTATTTAACCCCCAAGTACAGTAAAAACAAACAGAAATACAAAGTTTAGCATCTCGATCTTGCTTTTGATCCCTTTAATTTATTTCAAACTCTACCATACCCAAAGTCAAGATAAATATTCATTGGTTTATCATCTGATTTATTTATTGTCTTCATTATTACTGTATATAATTTTTTTTCCATCAACAATTCAACTCAATTGATTCCACCGCCATAAATAGAAGAGGACGAAAATAAAAAAATCAATAAAACGATAATTCTCAAAGAGCAATAATATATATATTATATCCACACACACACATATATATATATATATATATATATATATACAGAGCCAGCAATTCCTTTGTTATATTTAGTATCGAATAAATTCGGTTATCAACCTCGAAACTTTGCCGACTGGTTGTTTTTCCCCAAAGTCTAGAGGGTCTCAGCCAGCGTCTGAAAACGTCTTTCACCCTTCTTGTCGCTCTGGGAAAATAAGTGCCGACGATCCTACTGGAGGGTGTGTGCCTACCACCCGGGTGACCGTGGGGTGCCGCGAGCACGTAACAATGTTGCGGTAGGCCTCTAGGCCAAACCTCATCACTATCACTATACATATACATTCACATATACATATCCATATCTTTCTATACGTATATCCGTCGGTTATTTCTTCACCCTTACATAGATCCAGAATAATACTTTTCGTCTCGCTCCTTCTTATAAATTTATCTCAAAGTTGAAACACATCTCTCGGCACAATAAAACTCACAACAGAACTTTTATTTAGTTTTTTTCAACAACTTGTTTCCTGTCTTTGCGATGTAGTTATCATTTTTTTTCTTCATACTTCTACACACATTTACTCCATATATGTATGTATACATATGTGTGACCATTATGTGTGTGTGTATACGTTATACCCTTGAAGTCATTCACAGGTCGAAGGCCATTTTCCGTCTCGTGTCAGTCTAGTCGCGCTAGTCATCCGATCCCTCTTGAGGGCGCTCCGGTTTGCCAGACACACATGTGTGTGTGTGTGTGTGTGTGTGTGTGTCGTGCGCTAGACATTACTCTGTATGTGTGTGCTTTTATCACGCAAAAAAATATTTCTTTTTGTCAAGTGATCCGTACTCGAAAAATAATAGAACACATACGTATTCATTTTGCATATATCTGTGAGGGATGAGGGACTTGATATTTGGTTTTATTGAAAACGGAAAAATAATTCACCTTTTTCATTGATTTTACTCTTATTGAATGCAATCATTTTGTCATGTATCTGAGTAAAGTATGTTTGTAAAATTTTTTTTTACATATAAATTTTTAGTTAAATAACTTAAATAATTTGTTAATTTTTTAAATAAATATTAGAGTTATAAAAAAAAAATTGTTAATTGAGAAAGTTTGACTTTAATTTTATTTTTAATTAATTTTATAATGCTTTACAATTTTTTAATTGAATATTTTTTAAACATGATTAACTTTGATTAAATTATTTTTATTATTATTTTTTAAAAATATAATCCAGATAAATTATTTTTAAATAATCTATTTATGTTTAAATAATCCAACAGCCCCAGCAATAACACCTCCTATTAAAAATAAAAACTTTAATCCCTAAATAATTGAAAAATCAATAACCCGACCGCAAACTTCTGAATAATTAACACCCAATTCTGTGAAAACACCAAAAAAAATATATTTTTTATCTAATAAAACCTCGCTTGAGCGTCCGGTAATTGATGTCGGAATTTGTTCTCCACGGATGACAGCTTTTTAATATCATTCTACCAGTTTATATATATTTTAGGGTGATATATATCTGGTGGAAACTCGAACAATGACCTTATTTCCGTTCCCAACTCACCTGTCACTGTCATTGTCAATTTCGTAGCTCAACTTTTAATACACTATAAATAATATCTGAATTTAATTATTGAGAACTTTTTAATACATATTTCTTCAAGCCTATATAAAATAAATTTTATCAATCACCAAAACAAAATAATTATTTTCCAATAAAACCCGGATAAATAAATTAAAACTTCATCAACTCCAATAAAAGCAACACAAAATAAAAAAACAATATTCAGTTAAATTAAAATGAAATAAAATAGTATATTGAATGCATTATTGTCACCAAAAGCTCTTCATTTTTCCAAGACTTATGCAGTTCCATCGATCACACATCTGAACGTGAATCCATACTCTATACACGGAAAAGCTCAGTATACATATGTGTGTTCTATTCGTCCTCCCACATCTCTCAACATTACTCTTCGATGTCAGGACGTCTATATCTATACATGCGTATATATAAGTATATACATATATATTAAGCTCAGACTGTCGTCACCGCGTCTATATTATATATATTACATATATATATATGTACCCGCACAGCTTCACATATCTACTGGCAGTATATCTCAGGACTCAGGAGTTAAAGTGATGAAGATGAAGATGAAGATATGAGTCGCTCGAAAGAGTGAGCAAGAAGAAGAATATTACTGTAGAGTTTACCAGCAAAGGAGTCACAGACGAGACGAAGGAGGATAAAGAAGAAATATATAATATATATATATATATATCTATATATAAAGAGAAAAAGTAAGAGAGAGAAAGAAGAAACCTTTGCCGACTATGGAAGACGTTCAAGTACTATACTTCCAGAGGAGGATAGTAATGGTGTATAGTAGGAGAGAAAATCACGACGAAAGATGGATAGAAGGTATACTACTACTACTGCTAAGACTATCACAAATACAAGCATCAAGTACGAAGGCAGAGGAACAGGATGGGGAGGATGGAAGGAGGTTCAGAAGGAAAGGTTGAGGTTGCTGGAGGCCGATTCTCGTCTCAACTTCGTCTGGCCCTACACTAGT